TTCATTTTTTTCAATGAATTTAGATTACCTAGATTTTAGATACCACTTAGATTATTTCCAAAAGGGAGCTTTATGAATAAAGCTGTTTTCAGCAGTAGAGTTTTTTTTTTTTTTTCACATTGCTGAACCACTTGGAAATTACACATTACATGATTCATCGCCTCTAAATATTTGGTGTGTACCTTCTAAGAGTAACATTTTCTTTTGATAACATAGCATCTCGCCTAGGAAATGAGAGCGATGCTACAGGAGGTACAGCATTTGCCTGCTTGCATGCAGCTGACCTGGTTCAAATCCCCCCTACTGCATATGGACCCCTGTGTACCCTCAGGTGTGCTTCAAATGATGAATATTATCGTTCAGTGTCACCAAATAAGTCAGACAATATTTAGGTTTTCTATTGTCTCAAATCTTTTTATGTCATTTTTAGATTCAGAACTTAATCAGGAGTTCACTTTACCTTTGATTTTATTTCTTCAACCTACATTATGGCCCTTTGCTTCTGTTTAAGCAGGTACTTAAAATTTCTGCGTGCTTTCCCTGTCCTGGACAAGAAACTTCCAGGGAACCAAGCAATAGTACTGCAAGAAAGGAGTTTGTCTTGCACTTGGTTGACCCTGGTTCTCAATCCCTGACACCCCATGTGGTCCCCTGAGCATTGCAGGGTATGACCCCAAAACAGACATTATCCCCCCCCAAAAAAAATCTATTTCTGCAAAGAGCACCCCTTTGTTGGTCCTAAGTGAGGTGTTTGTTTGTTTATTGAAACCAGTGTCCAGCTCAGTGTTGCCCAGCGTGGGTAGTACTGTTGTGTTGTGTGAAATGATGTAGGGTTGATTGGAGCCTCAGCTGCAATTTGGGGTATGTTTTCTGGTTTTATTTGGTGGGGGGCTGGGGGGGCATTCAGCAGAACAAGCCTGGAAAGCTGGTCTAATTGCCAATTTTTTTGATTTGCTGCTTTGCTAAATTTCATTGGGCACCCCTTTTCATTTCACCAATTTCGGTAGACAGAATTAGGAAATATACTTACATAGACTAGTTATATATGAATACATATAAATAACATAATGACTGGGGGGGTGCTGATGACATTATGGTCAAATTAGAACCTTCACGTGCTTGTGAGAGAGTCTGAACAGCGCACACAGCCACAGTTGGCGATTTCTCAGTGCGTGGGAGGGTGTTAAGTTCGAGGGATTGATTCCAGTTTGGAGCTGTTTGGAACTTTTCCTCACTGCCTGGCTTCTTTCTACCTAGTTCTCAGTGACTTCTATGTATTTTTTTTTTCTTTGCTGCAGTATACCGCAATAATTTAAGGATTACGTACCATAGTCTACGCCAAATTGAAAGTAACCAACTAGAAAGTATGACTGATACACGTATGTGTGGTTGATGCAAATATAAGTGGTTAGGGAATGTCAGTATATCCCTATGCAAAGAAATCACATTCGACGTGCAAGGCAAATGCCTTAACCCACCCCACCCCCACCCCAATAACCCTTCGGGCTCAGAAGGCAAATGATTGGTTGAAGCTTAGGGTGTCCATGGCAAGCCTCCAGCGTGCTGGGGTCTGGAGTGATCCTGTGCATTCCTACAGTGCTTGCAAGAACATTATGAAATGGTTTGAGGCCTTGCCCTGCTCCATTCAGAGCAAGGTTATAGAAATTTCAGACAAATGAAAAAGAAAATGAATTAGGGCGCCTCTCCTTGAATGCAGCCCTTTACATCCCCATTTGAAAGTGATTCACCCCAGAGGCTACTAATACATAAGTATCATGCTATAGTAGTGCAAAATAAGCATATGGATATATATATATATATATAGTGTGTGTGTGTGTGTGTGTGTGTGGTATTGACTGACAAAAGCAAAGTAATGTGTGGCTTGAGAGATGATTTCTTGGACGAGTAGATAATAGATAATAAACACAGCATTTAGGGTGCGTTTCTAACACAGGCTGACCCAGGCTTCATCCACAGCACATCCCTACGGAAGAGCTGGGCGACTCCCTTAGTTGTTTCAGCCGGTGATCCCCTGCTTTGCTCAGCCATTTCACACAATCAGCAGAGCTACCAGGACGGTCACATTCAAGTAGAAGACGCTTTGCCCCTTGAGATGTGTTTCCCCATCAAGATGGCAAGGAATAGAAAGGTTTATGTTTGTGGTCCCCACGCATTGCTGTCGGCACGCAGGAAGCCAGTGCTCCGAGACGGCCCTGAGTAGGCTCAGGCGGCACAAGTTTCTCGGACCCTTGCAGAGCCGCTGGGAGGTCACCAGGCTCCCTGAGCACTGTTTGGGAGCCCCCCCACCCCCAAACAGAGAACGTATTTCCAGTGTAAACTCTTGACTGTGTCCTTGGCTGTTTAATCTGGCTCTTCTCCGTGAAGCGCCGGAACCCAGAGCTCCGTCCTGTTCATGACCGTGCCATGCTGGATTGTGTCCCGGTTCTCCAGGACCAGACCCACCCCTTCAAGAAGAGGGGGTCAAGGATGTTTGCCAGAAAGGCAGAGGGCAGCTCCTGCAGCAGTCTCTGCCCTCGTGTTCCTTTGTCCTAGTTTGAGGTTTTGTGTACGATACTCCTGTACCAAAAAAAAAAAGTAGTCTTGAACTCTTCCATGGCGAATGTAACACTTTTTCTTACTGTTGCAGTTGGTTAGCTAGTATGATACTGCTTCATTCACCTTCGAAATCAGGAAATCATCATCCCTTTAGTTTGCTGGAACTCTGACATCTTAGCGTTTCATGGTGACATTCATGTCACCACAAAACCTTCAGTATTTCAATTATTATGTGTAAGAACATATTTTAGCAGGTTTTATTAAAGGGGGATACAGGGAATGGGTGCAGTGCAGGGGGACTGCACCCAGGTAGCACCCCCCTGTACACGGTTGACCTGGGTTTAATCCCTACTTTCCCACGTGGTCTCCTGAGCACAGCCAGGTGTTGCCCCTAACACCCCCCCCCAAAAAAAAAGAGGAATGCCTGGGGTCATAAAAGTTCTGCAGAATATGAAATATTTGAATTTTGCCTAACTAGGTAATTAAAAATTATGCTATGAAATACTCTCCTAAAGGTGGCACACAGTTGTAGGTTATTAGACTAACTCACTTATGCTCTTGGCTTCTAGTTTGAGCCTCATCTATGCACACAGGGGCCTCTTGTAAAAATCAAGTAATTGTTTCCAGGTCTGCTTATATTTTTGCCTTTTTTCCACCCCCACCCCCACCCCCCTTGCTGCTACCGCTCCATCCGGGGCCTTTCCTCATGAAGAACTGCTGGTGTTGGAATGTCCGTAATTCCTGCCCATATGTTATTGGGATGTTTTGTTACTGTATAAAGTTATAAAAAGCTTTTAATGCTCTGCTGAGTTTTTCTAATTTGGGAGCAAGTCCTCTGTCAGATGTATGTATTGTGAATATTTTCTATATTTAAGCGTATCTTTAGGCAAACCGGGGTTTTTACTTTTTATGAAAGTACAATGTATCAAAAAATGTGTCTTGCTTTGCTCCTGGGCCACACCCGGCAATACTCAGGAGTCACTCCTGGTGGCCCTCGGGGAACCATATGTGATACTGGCTTGAACCTGGGCCAGCCGCATGCATGACAAGCTGAAGAACGAACCCCTCGCGGTGCAGGGAAGCAGGGCATACGGGATGCCTGAGATCAAGTCCAGGTTGGCCACAAGCAAGGCAAGCACCTACCCACTGTACTATCTCACCCCCTAAATTACTTGTAAGTGTACATAGAGAATTAAATAAGTTCCTTTTTTTTTTTTTTTTTTTTTTTTGCTTTTTGGGTGCGATAGCACAGCGGGTAGGGCGTTGCCTTGCACACAGCCTATCCAAGTTCAATTCCTTCGCCCCTCTTGTAGAACCCAGCAAGCTACTGAGAGTCTCGCCTGCAAAGCCTGACAAGCTATCTGTGACGTATTGACATGCCAAAAACAGTAACAGCAAGTCTCACAATTTGTTGTGAGACATTACTGGCTCCCACTCAAGGAAATCAATGAACAACCTGAGAACAGGACAGTGCTGCAGTGCTTTTTGGGTCATACCCGGCGATGCACAGGGGTTACTCCTGGCTTTCCTCTCAGGAATTACTCCTGGCGGTAGCTCAGGGGACCATATGGGATGCTGGGAATCGAACCCTGGTTGACCACGTGCAAGGCAAACGCCCTACCTGCTCTACTATCACTCCATCTCCCACAAACACATTTAAAAAATGGGCATGCTTAAATAATTGGTTTGTTATGGGTCTGGGGAGCAGAAAGATAGTACAGGGGCTAAGGCAGCTGCTTTACACACATGGCTCACCAGGTTCGATCTCTGCCACACCAAATGGTCCCCTGAGCACTGCTAGATGTGGCCCCAAAAACTGAGAATAAGGCTGGGCCAGAGTGATGGTACAGCAGATAGGGCGTTTGCTTTGCACGTGGCTGACCCACCACCTTAGCCTGCCCCCCTGCAGACATAGATTTATTTCATATTGTTTATTACAGCACAGAGACAAATGGAATTAATCAAAACTTACCAGGAAGAGTCAGTTTGTGATGATCGTTCTAGACTGAAGCGGTGTTCCTAACATCCCCGTCCAAGGCTCTCCTGTGCTGGTTGGTGCTAGTGGAGTGTCCTGTCCTATCGTTCAGGCTTATTGAGCTTGGTGCTTCTGCGCAGCTTTTGCTGTGATCCTACTGGGCTGCTGGTACTGTGAAATTTTTGAAATGTCAGCCGTCGCAGTCACAGGCAATAGATCTGGAACAGTTCGGTGGCTTGGCAGTTTGACGTGCTTCAGTTGTGCAGCGGGGCTATTTCTAGGCTGAACGGTGTCAGGTCAGGCAGTGGGCAGAAAGGGAATCTGCCCTCCCCATTCTGACGGAGGCCTAGGAGACCAGCCTGCCTGGGAAGGTTCAGTGGTACTGTGTTCTTTTGGAGATGTGGCACCAGGCCATTTCTCCTAACAAGATCTGGCATTTTCTTAAAGTTCTGTTTGTATTCTTCCCTAGACCTGAAACTCAGCACAGAGGCTCTGCTCCCCATTCTGAGAGTGATCTACCAGAGCAAGAGGAGGAGATTTTGGGATCTGATGATGACGAACAAGAAGATCCTAATGATTACTGTAAAGGTAAGACAGCGAGGAGCAGTGCTGACAGGCCAGCTCCATCTGTGCAGTTTCTCGTTTGACTGGTGTGTCATTGTAAACAGTTGGTTGATGCTGTCTGCTTTCTCTGTCTGTCACCCTTTTCTCCCGCGTAGAGGACTTAGCTTGACTTGATTTGTTCAAATGGCTTAATGTTTGTTTTTAACTCTTTCTCCCCTGAGAAATGTACTTTTTTTTTAAAGGAAAAGAAAAACCACAATGAAATCAGTAAAACAAGTAATTGGAAGAGTTGGGGGGGAAATACGTTATCAGTGTTTACTTTTGGGTGATATTAACATACACATCTTTTTATTTCCTTTTCTTCTCTTGATGATTGCTAGGACAAATTAAAATAGAATACTAGGTATTGAACAAGTACCGCCAGTGGCTCACACTTGAATGTGGTTGAATGAACACAGGTAGCAGTGACGGCATGAACCTGTAAAACATGGAGCTGCCGCATACCTTTCCTATCTCATGAAATTTTACAGAATTTGTGGGCAACAGTTTACACCAGAGTATCTTCCTGAAAATCCAGGAGGGGGGAAAAGACCTTTCTCATTCTTAGCAGGCAGAGAAGTACCAAAATATCGTGATTCTTGTCACCGATGGCAGCCTTCCCCAGATTAGTTTTGTTATTTTTGTTGATTTTAGAGACATTTCTGGGTTGTTGTTTTTAAAACTAAATATAAGGAATTTAGTGCCCTTTCAAGAGAAATTCCTGAACCTGCACCTGCAAATAGACTTATATGCTTAAAGTCCGTTGATTATTGAATAGGAATATTGTGATACATTGCCTTATTTTTGTTTGAGGGCGACTTTTTAAAAATGGGAGTTTAGGTGATAGGGTTACAGTAGTGTTAAAGTCTGTGGTATTGATGATGCCCTCCCCGCCGAAGCCCGTGACCTTCTACCCATTGCCCCTGGATCACCTCCAGTTTGACCTTTCCCCCTCGGTTGATTGATTGGCCCCTGTGGTCCATACCTCCCCCATGTGTGCTCCTGATCTTCCCCCGGTGCTCCCATGGTCTTCCTCGTCAGCCTCCTTGTTCCCCTCCCTGCCATTCCAGGTCTCTAACGTAGCGCCCACAATACTGTGCTTGCATTGATTTATTCCTCATATACTGTATTTGTCCTTCCGCCTCTGGCTTGGTTGGCTCAGCATGATACCTTCTAGTTCCACCCAAGTTGCCATGAGCTACAGACTTGTTTTTTCCTTGTGACTGCATAGGATTTCATCATGTATGTGCCACAACTTCCTTAAAGGGTGGCTTTTTTTTTTTTTAACTATTGGTTCTGCAAAGTACGCCTTATTCCTTCTAAATCAGTATTTCTTTTTTTCCTTCTTTCTTTTTTTTTTTTTTTTTTTTTTGTGGTAACTTGAGCTCAGTAATACCTGGTAACTGACTTGACTTAAAGGTTTTTTTTTTTTTTTTTTTTTTTTTTGCTTTTTGGGTCATGCCCGGCGATGCTCAGGGGTTAACTCCTGGCTTTGCACTCAGGAATCACTCCTGGTGGTGCTCAGGGGACCATATGGGATGCTGGGAATCGAACCTGGGTTGGCCGCGTGCAAGGCAAATGCCCTACGCTGTGCTATTATTGCTCCAGCCCCCGACTTAAAGTTTTTGTTGAAATTTTTTGTTAGAGGGAAATTGTTTTGGTTTGGCTTTTGGCTTTTTGGGGTCACACCTAGCAGTGCTCAGGGGTTACTTCTGGCTCTGCACTCAGGAATTACTCCTGATGGTCCTCAGGGGACCATATGGTATGCCAGGGATCGAACCTGGATTGGCTGCATGCAAGGCAGACACCCTCCCTGCTGCACTATTGCAGTGTTCAGGGGCTACTCCCAGCTCTTCTTAGGTTCCCAGTGATGCCAGTGATGGAACCCAGACCCTCCTGTGGGCAAAGCATGCACGCAGCCTCTTGAGCCATCCCTCCAGCTAAAAAAGTTTAAAGGGCGGGCCTCCTGCTTTGCATGTGGGAGGCCCAAGTTTGATCCCTGGTACTGCCTGGTGCCCCAAGCACAGAGCAAGGTGCAGTCCCAAAAGAACCACCAAAAAAATTTCAGTTACGAGAACTAAAACATGTGTTGGTAAGTATTGAAGTGGGGTGTGAGATACTTTTTCTTGTTAATTCAGTGGCTCTTTTCCTGCTCTTTTCCAGGAGGTTACCATCTTGTGAAAATTGGAGATCTGTTCAATGGGAGATACCATGTGATCCGAAAGTTGGGCTGGGGACACTTTTCAACAGTGTGGTTATCATGGGATATTCAGTAAGTTCTAGTGACCCAGTCAATTCATTAGTTTGGCGATGCGTAAATTTTCAAACTGTTTTCCAAAAAATGACGGCTCTGGACTGATTTCTTGATTTTGCTGATTTTGCCTGATTTTTTTGTATTTTGTTGTTGAGAATCTGTGTTCTATCTATGAAGGAAGGCACTTGGAACTCCCGTATTCAAAGTTCTACAAATGTTTGTAATTTTTCTCCCTGGAGTAGCATTGACTTTTGGTGATGCCTTAGACCAGCGATGCCAAATGCCACCCTCTGAGGCAGGGGTGGGGGGTCATAGCATAAGAGGGGGGCAGTAATTAGCCTCAAGTACGATGGTTGCTTTCTCTTTGTCACTTAAAGATAGTAGATTACGACCAGGCAGCACTGAGAAAAAAATTTTTTTCTGAAAAGATTGTGGTAAGTCAAATGTGTTTGGGAACTTCTAGCATGGGCAAACTTGTCGAATTATTTTCTTATATTTGGATTTGTGAGATATATAAAGCTTTGTACAAATCACAAGCAATTAGCATTATTATTATTATGTTTGCATTTTGGGTCACACCCAGCAATGCTGAGGGGTTACTCAGGAATCATTCCTGGCGGTGCTCAGGGGACCATATGAGATGCTGGGAATCAAACCCAGGTCAGCCACATGCAAGGCAAACGCCCTGCCCACTGTGCTATTGCTCCAGCTCCTAGCATTAAATTTTTTATCTAAAAGTTTTCTCTCTAGGGCCAGAGGAATGTGAGGACAGAGGGATGGAACAGTAAGAGTGAGGGCAGAGGGGATAGTATAGTAAGGTGCTTGCCTTGCACATACATGGCTGATCCTGGTTCCTCATGTGGTGGTCCTCTGAGCATTGCCAGGAGTGATCCCTGAGCATAGCCAGATGTGGAACCAAAACAAGTCTTACGTATCTAATATGATAGTAAGTGTTATCTACACATTAGTTTTCTCTCAGGCATTTCTTCTGTCTAGTTACTCATAGGAAGGTGTTTTTACCTTTCAGTTTTTTCCCGTATAGATACGAAGGATACTCGTGATCCGTGGGGTTTTTCCCCTTAGGTAAACCATTTTATGGTTTCACTTGATTTCAGGGTGACATTCAGAAGGGAAATTTTAAATTGGGGAAAGTGTTTGGTGGCTCACATGACCTGATAACAGGTTTTCTTCCTGTAAATGAAATCTGGCCAGTTCCAAGGGATCACAGAGAAGTAGCATATGCTTGCGTGAAAGGAACCAGGAAATGAATGGTGGTAGTTCTGTCACTGGCTCTCGGGTTTAGCTAAATCTTGGCTTCCTGAAGTATGGAATGCTTAGTCTTAATTGCCTATCTGTGTTTCATAGGGGGAAGAAGTTTGTAGCAATGAAAGTAGTTAAAAGTGCTGAACATTACACTGAAACAGCACTTGATGAAATCCGGCTGCTGAAATCAGTAAGTATCTGCTCATGTGTGAACTGCAAAGCGTCCTGAGTAAGTCTTTGCTGAATTAAGCATCCCAAATGACCTCTGTAGCGTGGATACTTCTTACCATACAGTTTGCGCATCCTTAAAAGGTGCAGGAAAATGACAGTATGTGGTTGGGTCTGTTTGACCCATAGAGCTCTAAAGAAGTATTGTTCAGGGTGCCAGGCTCTAGTGAGATAAGGAACTTTTGACCAAAAGTAAGTCAAAGGCAGGAGTGAAGCACAGCAGTTGATTGTAGGTTGGTGGCGCCCTGAGTTCTCTTCCCTGGCATTGCCCAAACTGGAAAAGGCCAATCAGTGTGTTGCTTCCTTTCAGTAAAATGTGTTTAGAAATGTCACATCTTGGGCAATTCCTCGATGGGCAGGGAGCATGCTGGAGGCCCAGGTTTGATGCCTGGTACGACGTTTCCCCATCACGTTGCCAGGTATGACCTGAGCCCAGCGCTGGGAGTGTAGCCCCTGAGCACTGTTGGATGTCGCTCCAAAACAAAGACCTGTCATTACTTTACGTGCTGTTTAAATTCCCTGATTCCTCATGGCCAGGTAGTCTGGGAGAGGGTCTCACTTTTGAGTAGGAAAATGCTTGAATTGGAATGATAGTCGAATTCATTATATTGGCCAGGGTAGGGGGATGGCCGTATCCCAAAGCTCAGAGATCATTCCTGGCAGTGCTTGGGGTACTTGCTATGTGGTGCCGAGGATCAAACCAGTGTCATTTGTGTTAAGGCAAATCACTTTGACCCCATACTGAAGCCCTGTATTTCCTTTTTGGAACTGCCATTTAAAGTTCTTTGCCTATTTAAGCTGTTAAGATTTTTGCTGTTTATCTTACAGAATTGTGTGAGGTCTTTCTTGGAGTGTTTACTCCTTCATTGTATTTGCTCCAATACCTGTGAATGTTTGGCTCTTGTCATGCTTTCTTTTTGACTACTTTCTGTTTCCCTGTTGTAGGTTCGCAATTCAGACCCTAATGATCCAAATAGAGAAATGGTTGTTCAACTACTAGATGACTTTAAAATATCTGGAGTTAATGGAACACGTATCCTTTGAAGAACATATTCTAAGCCACTAAGATTTTACTGAAAAATCTTACTAGATTTTAATTTCAAGTGCTGTTACCGGTTTAAGTGTGATGTGCATTCCTGTCCCTGTCATCTGTTCACAGACCACACTCACATGAAACTCTTGATTGGAACTTGCCATCCCTGTCCCTTGCCACCTTTGGGGCAGGGCGTGTCTGTTGGGAGGGTGGGTGGCGCACTTGCTTGTTCAGTGTGTATGTGTTCCAGGAATAATTTCTAGTGCAAATGTCTTAAAAATCCACCCATCTTTCCTTGTGCGCCTAAGCCACCATTTTTCCCTTCCACTGTGCTTTTCATCTTAAAGTTTTGGTTTGGGTCTCTTTACATCCGTCACCTTTCCACTTTCCAGTATTCTGGTATCTGTTGAATATCATTGACTTCTAGCATTGTGGCTTTCAGGGGGCCTGGGAGCCTCGTGGGGAGGTGCACTGAGCACGCTGTGCAGGCCTGTAGTTCAGAACTGGGGTACACACTGCACCCGGTGCCCCCAGTACTGCACCAGTTCCCTTACTCCTCTCTCCCCTCCCTGCTGTTGGTAAGGATGGTTTCTAATTTATAAGTTTGATTTTCTTGCAGAGGGTGTTGGGAGGGGGCCCGAAAGGCTACGGTGGCTCTTGACCAGCTGGACCTAATAACTCAGTGCTGAGGTCTGAGGGTATGAAATTGCTCACCTCTAGGATGCGGGGTCCCCAGGGCCCCATCCAGGACTGCTGGGGAGCTTGTGATGCGGGGGGTCTAATTGGGATTGCTCCCTGTCCTCCCAGTGTAGAAGTTAATTTTTTTAATCTTTTGTCTTTAAAATACAGAGATGGTTTTGAACACGGGCTGGTTCCTGGTTCCTCCTGATAGCATTCCCTTCTGTTAGCACCATTTTAAGAGACCACACGGTGGCACCATATTCAAGATTAGATTTTTTAAGCACAGACCATAAAGCTAGTCAGTTTCCTTTTTAAAAAAGTTCGAGAAGCTCTGAGCTCCGCCTGGGTTAGCCCTGAGCACCGACAAGTGTGGCTCCAAAACAAAGTTGGAGATTCTGAGAGTGTGGGTCTAGTGGCCAGGCACCCCTGGCTTGTGTGAGTCCTCGAGGGAGTTCTGTGCCCAGTACTGCAGGGGATATGCCACCACCACATCTTTTTTAAATATTGGCATTTGCAGTTTTTAAATCACATTTTGATGCAATGGGTCGGTTTGTTTTCAATGGTTAAAGTAAAAATTTCTTCACTTTGAGATGGAGAGGAATTATATTACCCTGAACATTATTTTTCATGTCTGAGAGAAAACATGGTAAGCCTTGTGCTTTTACCAATTCCATGTATACATGCACTTCTTGGGCTGTGAATTTTTGCATCGACTTTATCCATTGGCCAGAATTTTCTACTTGCAAGTTTCTTACGACCAAAGAATTAGCCCTTGGGATAGCAGAATATTGACATGTGCTTACTTCATGCTCTTTAACATTCCTCAGAAACAATTATATGGTGACATTTTGTTGGGGTAGAACACATGCTGCCCTTTTGTACCTCTTTTTCTTCCTTAATGTGCTCCTAGATATCTGCATGGTATTTGAAGTTTTGGGGCATCATTTGCTCAAGTGGATCATCAAGTCCAATTATCAAGGACTTCCATTGCCTTGTGTCAAAAAAATTATTCAGCAAGTATGTATCTTTCATGTTCTGTAATTGTGTGATCTTTATTGAAAAATAGCATATCAAGTATGTGAGAGAGAGAGAGTGTGTGTACGTACACACACACACACACATACACACACAAAAAAAACCACTGTTGTGATTTTTCTTTTTATCCTTCTGTGGAAAGACTTGTATTCTGTATTTATGAGTCTACTGTTTCAATTCCATTCAGGTGTTACAGGGTTTGGACTATTTACACACCAAGTGCCGTATCATACACACTGACATTAAACCAGAGAACATTTTACTGTCGGTGAACGAGCAGTACATCCGGAGGCTGGCCGCAGAAGCAACCGAATGGCAGCGCTCTGGGGCGCCCCCTCCCTCGGGATCTGCAGGTACAGTTTCTTTGGAAGTTAGGAGAAGTTCCTAACTTTACCCCCTTATGACTCGCAATACAACAAGGACTTCTGTGTAGAACTAATACCAACTCTCAGAAGACTTTTTTTGGAGGGGGTGGGGGCCACATCCCATGGTCCTCAGGGCTTCCTCCCGGCTCTGCTCAGGAGTGACGCCCGACAGGGTGCATCAATGAGCTGTGCAGGGCCAAGAGATCAAAACCACCTTCACTGAGGTGGACAGATTTGCTCTGAGTGCTGGCTCGGTGATCATGAGCTGATGACCCAATGCCAGTCTCTCAGCTTCATTTTCTTGTTTTGTTCTGTTCTTTTTTGTTTTGGGGCCACTCCCAGCTGTGCTCAGGGTTTCTTCCTGGCTCTGTGAGTGTGCAGTGCTGGGATTGAAACCCAGATGAGCCGTGCCTGAGACCAACTCCCTACGTGCTGCACAGTCTCTCCGGCCCCTCAACTTCAAGCTACACTTTAAGCTTCACTTACCATCACATGGGAGTTATTACTGGGATTAAACGTCATAGAAAGCAGTTAGTAATGTGCTGCATAACAGTGAGTTCTAAAGAAAAGATTACGACTCTTCCATTAGGGATGGTTTTTTGTTTTTTTTTTTAATTTTTGTCAAATTATGTTTGCGCTTCTTTCTAAATCACATTGAATTGTCAGGGATCTTTTAAAAAGTAGCTCTGGGGCTGGAACGAGAGTGCAGCGGGTAGGGCATTTGCTTTGCATGCGGCCTACCCGGGTTCGATTCCCAGCATCCCGTATAGTCCCTGAGCACTGCCAGTTCCTGAGTGCAGAGCCTGTGCATTGCTGGGTATGACCCAAAAAGCAAAAAAATAAAAAGTAAAAAGTAGCTCTGGAGAAGAGATAGCTAGGGATAGGGTTTCATCAGCTTTGTAAAGTGAAAACATTCCAGCCAGCCCTCCTGAGCTGCACCCTTCAAGGGTGGCTGAGGGTGGAGCCATCATGATGTGGCAAGTCCCTGTGTTCAGTCCCCAGCTCACGTACGGCCAGGCACCCAGACAGTGGCTCAGAGGCCAAGTTCAGCAGCTATTAAAGGACTAGGGATGCTTCTGGAGTAGGCGCCTCCCATGAGTGAGGTCCTGGATTTGATCCCTGACAGCATACGCATAATAATGGTAATGATGGTAATAGGAATGTAAGATTCAGCTTCTCACTTAGCAACTTGAACATAGATCATCAACTGTTACAGCTATTGATGCCATTTAAAACTAGGCCAAGGGGCCAGAGCGATAGCACAGAGGGTAGGGTGTTTGCCTTGCACATGGCCAACCTGGGTTCAATCCCCAGCATCCCATATGGTCCCCCAGGCACTGCCAGGAATGATTCCTGTGTGTAGAGCCAGGAGTAACCCCTGGTGTGGCCCAAAAAAAAAAACAAAAAAAAATAAAACTAGGCCAACAGGAAGATCAGAGATGGGTGGGGATGGTTATTGCCTGTCATTTTCTGTCTGAAATAGTGTGAATACGATTTGAATAACATGACCGAACTAGAAATGGGAAGTTGGTTCTTTGCATATATTGATGCTTATCTGTAAAAGGAATCTTTTAAGTTTATTGGCCATTGTATACATTGTTACTTTTAAGAGAGCCTGCTTCTACCAAACTTGTTTAAGAACAATTGTTTATTTTTGACTATGTAAACTATAAGGAAGATTTCCTTTTTATAGGGTGCCTTGTATGAGCCTTAGGTTATATTGCCATTTGAATGTTGAAATTCTTAACTTGATTTTTTTTTTGTTTTCTTTTTAGTTAGTACTGCACCCCAGCCTAAACCAGTAAGTATAAGGTGTTTATATAATTTTTATCTGTGGGCCTTGAGTATATGCGTTCTTTGGCTATGATTGGTCACAGTTTTCGAGTTCCAACCCAGAGAAAAAAATTCCTACTCTTCCATAAATTTCTTCAGTAAATTTCCGTGTAACTTCAGCAAGTTTATACTGGTGAGACATAAATTGGAGTGAGTCTGGATTACACCAACCCCACAGACTTCTCAGAAGACCAAGATACTGTGCTTTTGTTTTTATTTGGCTTAGTAAGAGTATCCACATTTTTTTAATTAATGCAAAACTAAAACGCTATATTAGGAAAAGAATGGAATTTAATTAGGAAGTAATTAACATTAACAGTTATCTCCAACTGGGGGTGATGGATTAGCCACCTGAAGGCTTTATCTGTTTGTAATCTCCGCCCAGGCTGACAAAATGTCAAAGAATAAGAAGAAGAAATTGAAGAAGAAGCAGAAACGCCAGGCAGAATTACTAGAGAAGCGAATGCAGGAAATTGAGGAAATGGAGAAAGAGTCTGGCCCTGGGCAAAAAAGACCAAACAAGCAAGAAGAATCAGAGAGTCCTGTTGAAAGACCCTTGAAAGAGAACCCACCTAATAAAATGACCCAAGAAAAACTTGGTATAAATAGAGCATCACAAAAATTACTTTATAGCAAATTTAACATTAATTTATCATTGTTATATAATAGTGGTTTCATGCGTACAACACCTCTCTGGGGGTGCCCTTAATACAGTAAGAATACGGCATTTGCCATAAATACTAGGCAGGTAATATTCAAATGTAATTTCTCTAATTTTTCTCAGGAAATATAGCATAGACTTCATTTAGCAACTGGGTAAGGATAAGAAGATTTCTGTCCTTCCTTAAATAGGTCTTAGCTATCCATGTTTCTATACCACCTGTTATAAGTTCTAGAAAATACTTTATTCTTGAGAGTGTTTCTGTTCTTTCACGCCTACATGTACACATACATCCTTTTTGTCTGTTTGTTCTTTAGAAGAGTCACATACCATTGGCCAGGATCACTCACTCACCCCCCTCTGTGTAGAGGGTGGCACAGGAGAAATTAACTGCAATGGAGTAATCGGAGTCGTTAATTACACTGAGAACAATAACAAAGAAACAATGATGCTTAAAGAGGATCTCCATAATGCTAATGACTGTGGTGTCCTAAACTTGAAGCAGGAACCTAACTTTGTCAACTCCCAAAACGGAGATAGCAGGTCTCAAGACACAGACGCTTGCACATTGGTAGCTTCTGAGGTGCCTCCAGACACCATGGTCTGCCAGTCTCCGGCAAATGTAGATCAGTCATTTTGTGGACAGGACATTAGCCAACTTCAGGAAAGCATCCGGTCAGAGATGCCGTGTGAAGATGAGCAGGAGCGGAACGGCCCCGTGGATAACAAAGGTACCTAAGCTGACCTGTGCTTAACTTAAACCTACACGCCAGGTTTATGAATGTCTGGACCAAGTAGGGTTGTTTCTGTGACATCATCGCTTTACAGCAGGCATCCTAATCACACTGAATAAATCTCCAGCTAAGTGTGAGTTGTTCCCCGTGTACAGATCTAGCGCTTCATTTGCTGCTATGATAGCAGAGGTCCTATGGGACCGGAGTGATAGGTGATAATAGTGCGGTGTCGCATGCAGCCAGCCGGGATTCCGTCCTTGCTACCCCATTTGATCCCCAGAGCACTGCAGGGTGTGTCCCCCACCCCCAGGGGGCAGGGGTGCAGGGAGGGGAAGGTCTTAGTTCTGGAAACTCAAGATGTTGCAGGACTCTTGTTTTCTTTGGGAAGCAGGCGAGGGGGATGTTGTAGTTCTCCGGTTGAGGACCTGGGTATACATTTTATTAAAATCTTTGATGATTTCTGGGTTTAGTCATGCTGATGTCTATTGCTGTTGTCTATAGGGAAAACTGCTGCTGGAAATTTTCTTGTTAATCCCCTTGAGCCAAAAAATGCGGAAAAGCTCAAAGTAAAGATTGCTGACCTTGGGAATGCCTGCTGGGTGGTAAGCTCTCAGTGTTCTGTTTTGAATGACTAGGAATACATGAGAATTTGGTTGCTGGTTGTTGAAAAATAAAAACTGATTGTACTTAACAGAATTATATTCTGTTACCCTGCTTGCCCTTTTTTTTTGGCTATTAACATTTTTTATCATAGAAAAGTTCAAAGTTCAAATCTGTTAGAAAAGGAGAATGGAATAATACTCTGCCTGCCCGTAGTACGCACAGACTAAGTAGTACTCACCTTTTAGCCGTATCTGTTTCATCTCTGTCCTTCTCTCTCTCTCTTTTTTTTTTTATTGCTTTTTGGGTTACTCCTGGCTCTGCACTCAGGAATTACTCCTGGCAGTGTTCAGGGGACCATATGGGATGCTGGGAATTGAACTCAGGTCGGCCGCATGCAAGGCAAACCTGCTGTGCTATTGCATTCCACCAGTGTCCCCAGTTTCCCTCCTGCCACCCTAACCCACCTCTCTGGAAGGCACTTTTCTATTCTTTCTTGTATTGTCCTTCTCTATTTTCAATGCCTGTGCTCCGACTTACCCCATCTGGGCTGGGGCTGGAGAAATAGCTCAGCTTGCTAGAGCACATGCTTTGTTTCCTGGAGGCTCAAGTTTGATGTCCAGCACCCCTGAGCACAGCAAGGAGTAATCCCTGAGCACCACCAGGTGCAGTGCACTGTCACCCCCACACCAGAAAAAGCGCCCAGTTGTCAAAAGTGAGTATCTCACTTACTAATTGTAGCCTTTCCATTCACTTTACTTTGGGAACTTTTTCTTGATTTAGAATTTATGTTAAAGCTAGTTGGTTGGGTATTCCTTATTGATACATTGTCACTACCACACATTTTTCTTTTTCATAATTGACTCATGGGAGATAGACAGTTACAAAGTTACTCATGATTGAGTTTCAGTTATACAATGTTTCAACATCCATCCCTTCACTGGTATACATTTCCCACCACTGATGTCTCCATTTTCCCTCCTCCTAACCCACCTCTATGTCAGGCACTTTCCTATTCTTTCTTGTATTCTGGCCACTACGGTTTGCAGTTCTGTTACTGAATTTACCTATGGTTGATTTGTAGTGAGTGCCCTAATACGATTATTCATTTAAGAAATTTTTTTTAAATCTTTTTTATGAATGTTCTGTATTGGGGCCGGAGCGATAGCACAGCGGGTAGGGCGTTTATGCCTTGCACGCGGCCAACCTGGGTTTGATTACTGGCATCCCATAGGTTCCCCTGAGCACTGCCAAGAGTAATTCCTAAGTGTAGAGCCAGGAGTAACCCCTGAGCATCGCCGGTTTGACCTAAAAAAAAAAAAAAAATTCTGTATTGCTTTTTGTGTGGTTTGTTGGCCTATGGTCCATTAAAGGTAGTGTAGCTCTCAGGCCCCAGGAGACTGCGCCAAGGGTAGTTAATTGTGTGTTCTACATTTGGAGACCTGGGCTCCCACCTGTTCCCCCCAAAACAGAACCAGCCAATGAGAAGCGGCTGTCAGAGTTGGCCCTCTCCACTGGGAAACTGGATCATATCCTCAAGGCCTCATAACCTGTGGTGACTCGGAATGAATGCCAAAGCTCTACCGTGACCCCCTCACTGCCAAGCAAAGAATGCTTCCCGTTGCTCTGTTTTGTATTCTTTTCCCAAGACTATGTGTACAGCTCACCACCCCCTTGAGTTCAAGTTCCTTTACAGGTGTCATCTTTCTTTGTTAATTCTGTTTTGTTTTCGGACTGCACCTACTGGTGCCCAGGGCTCCTCCTGGCTCTGTGGAGATCCCTCTTAGGGGGCCTGGGGAATCATGTGGGAAGCTGGGGGTCAAACCTCCCAAATAAGTCTACACTTCGGCGATACAGAACCCAAATGGCATTCACAGATTTTTTGTTTTGATACTTTGGGGGTGGGGGGCTGGGACGTCGGGGTAGACTGTGTGAAAAACAGAGTGATGTTTGAAACTCCTAGCATCAAAATAATCAAAGTTAGTTAAACTGTTTAGGAGGAAACTTCAGGCTTCGTTTTCATCTTAATTATCAAGCAGCCATGCCTGTTTAGGAAAAATGGATTCTAAAATACTGTTTCCTTCACTCAGCACAAACACTTCACTGAAGACATTCAAACAAGGCAGTACCGCTCCCTGGAGGTCCTGATTGGCTCTGGCTATAACACCCCTGCTGACATCTGGAGCACTGCGTGCATGGTAATGCTCTCCCCCTCCGCCTTGACTTGCTGTGTGGTAATCACATACCTGGCCTGTTGGCTCAGTTTAGTACACCGGCCAATTCACAAGCACAGGAGGGAATTGGTGAGTTAACACTGGCATGCTGGGTCTTGAGTCTGGAGAAGTCTGAGTTCTCAAAAGCCACAAACATCCGGTGTTGCCCTTTCCACTGCCATGGGTGGCGAGGGGGGAACCCCACACCTTGTCGCTGTGCCGGGGACCGCTCCTAGCAGTGCTGCTGGCATTGTGCTCAGCCCGTGGAGTAGGGCAGTGTTCACCACAGCACTATTCTCAGGCCCTGTAAGAGCCCTGTGCTTGCTGGTTCCAGAGACACGGCCACAGCCAGTGAAGACAGCCTGGGATATTCTCGGGTGTTTAGAAATTCTGTGCCCAGCAGGCCTCCAAAGGCAGAGAGGGTAGTTTGGTGTTTTGCTTTTAACCTCATTTGTAAACTTGTAACTACTATCAAATACCTTAAGTTTCAGAAACAGTATTTTCGGAAACCTTTCTGTGACTCTATTTAAGTACCCAGGTGAAATTTTTCAGGAAAAACTCACAAGTTTATTTCACTCATTGAAAAAAAAACTTGTATCTGTTGAATTCCCACTATGAGAGTTTGTGAATTTGAAGTACTTTAGAGTAGGGAAATGACTGTGGGTTGCGTAAGGAATCCGTTCCCAGCAAGAGGCCATCACCTTCCTGATCGTAAGAGACGTGCCTGAAATTTGGGGGCTGTGACTATGCCTGCACCAAGATGGAGGCCATTCTGTCCTCAACAGCTGACATAAGACACTCGCAAGCCACTTGAGGCCTGTTTCTGGACCCTTGGTCAGCGTATGTCCAATTAAATCTGCCTCACAACTCTGGAGATCATGGACTACTTACAACATAGGCTTAATCAGAATCACCAGGGACTAGCACTTGATTTAACCCTACTTCTGTATCAACAAAATCTTTTTTTTAACTGTTGTTACATTGATTTTTTTTTAAAAAAAGTCAGTGAATTAAGGCTTCATTACCCAGCTGCTATTTTTCCATGCTGCATAACACTTAATCTAAAGAAGTAAGCGCCTTCAGATCCCCTTGACGGGGGAGATTTTCTTGTTCTGAGAGACGGATGCCAAATATCTCTGTCCTGACGGGTGAATGAACTTTCCAGTCACGTACAAATGAGTGACCAATGAGTAAATTTACGCTTAAATCTTTTCCTGACTTTCTGTAGACATAGAAATTTGGACTCTTTTTTTTTTTTTTTTTTTTTTTTTTTTTTGCTTTTTGGGTCACACCTGGCGTTGCACAGGGGTTACTCCCGGTTCTGTACTCAGAAATCACCCCTGGCAGTGCTCAGGGGACCATATGGGATGCTGGGAATTGAACCCGGGTCAGCTGCATGCAAGGCAAACGCTCTACCCACTGTGCTATTGCTCCAGCCCCTAGTTTGGACATTTTAGAGAGTACTGTCCAGATCTAGAATTTTGAAATACTTTTTCCTTTTTCTTTTCTTTTTTCCTTTTAACCAAATACTAAAGACATAGTGAAATGTCCGGATTTTTTAATTTTGGGTACAGAATCTCAATTTCTAGACACTAAAAACTTAGAGTGCAGGTGGGGGTGGGACCTGGAAACGGCAGCTGACCCCGAGCGCTCTGAGGTCCCTGCAGCACCACCAGGAGTAAACCCCGAGCAGCACCAGGTATGGCCCCAAATTAAAACCCTGAAGATGAGTGATATATTTTTGTCCAGACATGGTCCTTTCTGAACAAAAACTGAAACTTGAAAGCTGAATTGGTGCATGACAGGGTAAGTGGAATAGTCCACATGGTGATACAAACTGGGTTTACTATTTCCTAGATCCATTTTAAGAGATAAGGAGGAGGAAAAACTTCCAGGGAAAGTCTTTAAGAATCTGATCATTTGTGGGTTGTACCAGGGCAGAGGAAAGTTGATAAGAGCCACACACGCTGTCTTTTCCTTAGGCCTTTGAACTGGCGACAGGGGACTACCTGTTCGAGCCCCACTCCGGGGAAGAATACACCCGGGACGAAGGTGAGCCTCTCCCAGACATGCCTCTGTCCTTCTGGTACGCTCAGTAACTAGATCGCAGGAAAGATCCAAGTATAAAAAATGCATTCCTACTGTATCAGTGGTCTCTCTGCTCCTAAACTCGTGCTCAGTCATGACTCCCGCTTCGTCGGCAAGTCAGCCACTGTAAACACCAGCACCCTGCCTGAGTGTGCAGGCCACCTCCCCTCTGGAAAAGGGTGTCCCGTAGCTCAATTTTCTGAAAATTGAGGCCAGTTTCTTTCTCGACACTGACCTTTGCACCCGTCAGGACAGAGATATTTGGCATCCGTCTCCCAGAACAAGAAAATCTCCCCCGTCAAGGGGATCTGAAGGCGCTTACTTCTTTAGATTACACATCTCAAAGCAGAACGGTTGGTTTGCAGGCAGTGATAGCCATGGGAATAGCCCCAGCTGTTCGTTGCTCCGTCTGAGAAGTCACACACGGGCACCAGATGTGTGGCACCCGGGCCACTGGATGAGTTAATAGCTTGCATGAAAATAGCAAAGAAATGGTTTGCCTTTAGTTACACAGTTTAGGCAGCTTGAGAGAGCCCGAGCTCAGATCTCTCTCCCTATGTGGAGGTAGATTATGTATGACGTTCTGTGCTTCCTTGATGCTTTGGGAAATCAGGTTTATGCTCTGTGGAATGAAGAGCATGTGCTATTTCTCAAATTGTGCTCCTCTGAGTTATTCATATGCAGTGTTAGTAAGTCCTACTGATATTCCTAAACCGTAGAGTACTAATTACCATAGCCAAATGCCTATTTTAATGGTTACAGGTAGGACAAGTTTTCTGTACATAAGCCCCTAGTAAAAATATACTGTGATAGCTACCTCTGGACACAGTTCTTTTCTTCTGTTCTCTGCTTGTTAAAAATAACGCGTGGCACAGAGGAAGTTGAGTGCCTAAAATTAATGTTGTATAGGATTTGTGCTGCCATGCCCAAAAGTTGAAGTATGTATGAGAAGTCTCAGGAGTCAAAGAAGAATCATTTACCTAGGTATTCAGGTCCTTCCTGGACCAGTCAGTACCAACAGTCCTTATCTGAAACCTGAGCCAACTTGATTTGATCCATATCAGCAAAAAAAAACAAATCATACATACCTTAGCTTAGTGTGTGTATATAAAGTTGGTTACAGTTCATGGTAAGGCTGGGACCCGTCTGTATCTTTACCCTGCAACCCTAATTCTTATTATACGAGGCAAAATATTCTTATCAGTTTTGCCAAGTATATCAGTCCTGTGATTAATTAATAACCCAGAAAAAGGTTGCTGAAATTAAACAAAATTTCAAGGGAAAAAGTTTCCTTGATAACTATTAAAAGAACCAATATTTCTCTTGGCAATTTACAGTAAGATAAAATATAGTCTCATTTATTGTTAATTTACACGAAGACATTTATTTGCAGGTCCTGCCTAAAATCGGCAGAGATTTCTTGGCAGCCAGGTACTTGTTACCAAACCAATCATAAATTAACCAAAACTGCCCAAAGGTTATAGTGATTAATGTAAAGCCTCATTTATCACTTTCATATTTACATGAGAAAGATACAATATTTTCATAGATTCCCGTATATGGATACTACTAGCGTATTACTCCCCTGAAAGAAACATTACTGAGTTTTTATTTTATATTTTGATGGTGCCAGAGCTTAAACCCAGGGCCTTGCGCATGTAAAGTATGTGCTCTTCCACTGAGCTATTTTCTTGGCCTGTTACTGGCAGTTTGTAAGTGATTGACCTGGTGATCCTATCAGTAGAATAAAATCATTTATAAAGCTCATTTGTAACTAGAAGACATCACTTTTTAGAACATCATCAGTGTTCTTAGTTTTGTCAACTGCAGAGTGACACAGATAGTCGAACTCTCTCAAGTATGGGTGCTGACTGGCCCAGAGCTCACTTCTGGTGAAAGACAGTACACCTCCCCCAGCACATACCAAGGTCACGCTGTGACAGTTGCAAAGAACTGCAATGTTGGAACCTTCTAATAGTCAAGTGTGATGATACTTTAACATGTTTGTGCTGGAGGGGCCAGAGTAATAGTACAGTGGGTAGGGCACTTACCTTATACGCCCGGCCATCCCGGCTTTGGTCCCTGGCATCGTACACAGCCCCCAGAGCCCACAGAGAGTGGTCCCTGAGCACAGTCAGGGGTAAGCCCTGAGCACTGCCAGTGTGGCCCAACCACCACCCTCACCCCACAGGTCCCTCCCCCACAACCCCTCCCCCCAAGAAAATGTTTGTAAAGGGCTGAAGCATTTGCATTATATGTAGGAGGCATGGGTTGAATTCCCAGAACCGCTAAGTGCTAACCCCACACCTGCACCCCTCCCCCCCACACACACACACACCCAAAAAGCCCTAGATTAACCATGTTGAGATGAGGTTTTTCAGGGCCAGCGAGAGTACAGAGGTTAAGACAGTTGTCTAGCGTGTCCATTGCGGCCTGGGTTCAGGTTCTGACACGGCATCTGAACAGAACCAGGAATGTCCCCACCCCAAAACAAAAAAAGATGTGAGTTTTTATTCGTGGTCTAATTTTTACCAACCCTAGAGCTTCAAGCAGGTCGTTCTACCCAAGGTTCCTTTTTCTCATCTTTAAAGTGGCTATTACCTAAATTTGGGCATTTTATACAGTCAGTTACGAAAACAGCTGACCGCTGTCTTCATTGGCAGCATGGCGGGGGGGGGGGGGGTTGTTGTTTGTTTGTTTTGCTTGTAGGGTCACACCCGGCAATGCACAAGGGTTACTCTTGGCTCATGCACTAAGGAATTAACTCCTCACGGTGCTCGGGGGACCATACGGGATGCTGGGAATCAAACCCGGGTCAGCTGCATGCAAGGCAAACACGCTACCCGCTGTGCTATTGCTCCAGCCCCGGCAGCATTGTTCTTAAATACCATAATTGCTGCTCTAACCCCGGAACAGTCTTAACAAGTTCTAGAATTTCTAGAACAGATTGATTGCTTAACCTTAACACCAATCTACCTGAGTCTTTGCACGTAGTCAACAGTGTGTAGATAAAGAGAAATGAAGAGGTGGGTTGACCCCATGTTCAGTAGAATGGGACTTGGCGGCACACCACCTGAAACAATCCGGCTTTTCCCAGCCTCCCCCCAAGCATCTCTGGTTTTATTTGTAGTTACATGTAAAACAGCTAGTACTTTAAGAAGCTATTCGTACAGAAGAGATTCTGGCACCTTGTCCTTGATCCTGTTCTTCTTGCCCTTCCTTCTATTTTAGACCACATTGCGCACATTATAGAGCTGATAGGCAGAATTCCAAGACGCTTTGCCCTCAGTGGGAAATATTCCCAGGACTTCTTCAATCGCAGAGGTAGTATTGTTACCGTAGTTCTCGTCTAGGCCCTAGGGACCCAGCTCCAGGAAGCAGTGCATTCACACCAAGACTGTCTGTAGTTACCTCTGGGGCCCCCTCCCCGGAGTGGGTTCCGGTGTCCTTCCGGTCTCCTGGATTCTCCACTCACTGGATAGAGTCCTCCTCTGCCCATTTCGCACAGAGAGCCAACCTGAAACGCTTTACAGAGAGGTGTGCATGCTACTCTTTCTGCCGGTATCTAGAACTGTATGTTACTCCTGTTATGTATGTCTTTTTTTCCCCCCCTCTTGAAATGTTTGAAACATACAGATCACATTGCATTGATCATAGAACTTCTGGGGAAGGTGCCTCGCAAACTCATTGTGGCAGGAAAATATTCCAAGGAATTTTTCACCAAAAAAGGTAAAATTAATGTGTTTGTTCCAGACTTGGAGGAGGCAGGAGTTTTTTTAAATAATAAGGTAAGTACAGCTGGGTATATGTTCACATTACGCGCACCCCCCCCCCAAAAAAAGCTCTTACTTTGAATGCAGAAAGGTGAAATAAAAGCAATCGAGCGCCAAGATTAGATCACGTGTATGCTGCATCATGGATTTGATCTTGAATAAAATAAAAATAAATTCTGAGAACAAAGGCTAGAGCCAAAACTGTTGGGGTTCGAGTCCCAGTTGTACTAGTTGTATGGCCTGTGTCACGTGACCAGGCTTTATTTTGTTGTGTTTTAAATAGTGGTGGCGGGCTGGAGTGATAGCACACTGGGTGGGGCGTTTTCCTTGCATGTGGCCAACCCAGGTTCGATTCCCAGCACCCCATTTGGTCCCCTGAGCGTTGCCGGGTGTGACCCAAAAAGCAAAAAAATTAAATAAACAGTGGTGGCAGCAATCTTCTTAATAAGCGAGTTAATACGCGTCAGGTCACGTAAAGTAGTTGGTACGTGGCCCATTGTTGGTTGGTTACTCCTTGTACACATTTCTGAAGTGGCCAGTTTGGGACTGGGATTTAATTCAGACTGCTGTGTTTGCTGCTTTTTAAGCTACCCTTTGGGGTTTTTTTGTTTGTTTTAATCTTCTGGGTTTTGGATTTGGGGACCCCACACCTGGTGATGCTGGGGGTCACTCCCCGCTCTGCTTGTCTTCAGCCCTTCAGGCTCTCTCCATCCTTGGCATTCGCTTCCTTAGGGCAGACTGTTCCAGGCATCCTGTGACACCCAACAGTTACTTGAACACCAAACCCTTTGCCATGTCCTGTGTTTATATTCTCAATTATTGGTAAAGGAGACCAATAAAAGTCACCAAGGGTTTTACTTCGTAATATATGAAGTAAAGACATATTTAAATTGCCTTTTTTTTTATGTATTTAGCTAACACTTAAAAAGCTGAAATGGTAAAGTATGACCTAGAGGGGTCTAGAAAATTGTACTGCCTTTTTATCCCTCTGTTTCCCCATCTCTTTTTTACCTTACAACTTCTGCTCCTAGACTTAAGGGGGGGAAATCTATTTTTCTCAGTACGTAAAAGCCAGTGGCTGGAGCAGTAGTGCAGTGGGTAGGGAACTTCCACACAGCTGGTGCAGGTTCAACCCTTGGTTCCCTGTATCACCGAGGAGTGATCCCTTAGCACCACCAGGTGTGGCCCAGACCCCCACCCCATTTTCAGTCATTTCTAATTTTTACAGAAAAATAGTAAATTGCTTCATAAAAGTGTTTGTGTGCTCAGATTATGGCAGTGTGTATCGAATATGTAGTCATTAGCTGCCCACAGAATAGATTTTAAATGTCCCAAAAGAATAAAAATTTTAGTAAGTCATTGATCTTGTAAAAGTCACTGATCTTTGCATCTTGTAGAAATTGTCACATGTTTGCATGTTTCGGGCTCTATATTTAAGCTGCTGGTACATTTTGACGTGATATTGGCTGGAACGATTGGGCTGGAGCGATAGCACAGCGGTAGGGCGTTTGCCTTACAAGCGGCCAACATGGCCGACCCGAGTTCGATTCCTCCGCCCCTCTCGGAGAGCCCGGCAAGCTACCGAGAGTATTCGATATGCCAGACACAGTAACAACAAAGTCTCCAATGGAGACGTTACTGGGCCCGCTCGAGCAAATCGACGATCAACGGGAGGGCCTTTACCTTTTACCTTTTATTGGCTGGAATATAGAGCCCCATAAGAGGGCGAACCACTTTGACTATGTGCTGATAAAATGCCTCTGAGTCACCGTGGGAGTTGCGGGAGAGTTCAGGCTTTTTCTGTTGCGGGGGAGGGCAGGGATCGGTTTCTGACGGCCCACCTGATTCTTTGTAGACATCGCCAGCAGAGTGATTTCCACGGCAGGGTCTTGTGGCTGGTCCCGGTTGGTCCATTTGTTTCATTCACGCTGTTTTTGCCACAGGTGACCTGAAACACATCACGAAACTGAAACCCTGGGGCCTTTTTGAGGTTCTGGTGGAGAAGTATGAGTGGTCTCAGGAAGAGGCAGCCGGCTTCACGGATTTCTTACTGCCCATGTTGGAGCTGATTCCGGAGAAGAGAGCCACTGCCGCCGACTGTCTTCGGCACCCGTGGCTCAACTCGTAAGGCCCGCCCAGCGCTGCGCGGAGACCTCAGCAGGCCGCGGCCCCTCCCCTCTGCTCTTGCTCGTGTCCCTTTTCAGGGTGAAGCTCTCCTCGAGGGTTTCTAGGTTGTTGGTTGTTTTTTTTCCCCTTTTAATCCAGCCTATTCATTGGGGGGGTGCTTACTTGACACTGTGGAGATATCCCCCACAGCCCCAGGGCGCATCCTAGGTGAATCTGGCCTTGATCAGGCTCCGCCAAAGACTAAGGTTCTGAAATGTGAAGCAATCTCTCGCCCTGTGCCCTGTCTTTGCATTAGGACATCCTTTAAATTATGCGCCCGAGTCCTTTTTCAGAGAGCTCTAAGGCTTGTGTGAGCGCATCCTTTTATTCCTGACTCTACGAGTCAAGTTTTCTAGTGCGTGTCCCAGCGCCAGCGTAAGGCAGAGAAGGGGAGAAGAGTGTCGCTTCCGTGCACAGCAGAGGCATTAAACTTGCTGGGTCCAGGCTGCATCATCCTCCTGGATTGTTTCTGTTGTTCTCTCTATTCACATTCTCTCCTGCGACTGTCTTTGTAAATGAGCTGTAGAAACATCGAATGTGTTTTATCACTGTTCAAAGCACCGTCAAATTCCTTTCATCCCTTAATAACTCTTTAAGATCGTGAATCTTCAAGTCTGATTTTTTTGATGGTAACAAGAACAGAGCCATTGGCTAGTGATTTCCTCAGAGCCGCAGTTATCGAGCCAAAAGTCCTTTCCCGGGAGTTCCCCTGTCTGTTCCGTACCAGCAGTTCCTCCGATGGGCTTCTCTGGCGTTAGGAATCCTCGCCTGGTGCTTGACTCTTGGCACCTGAGTTTGTTGCCCGGTGACTGAAGAATCCCGGGCAGCTTCAGGAAGGCAGTCTGGGCTGCAGAGATTCCCCACCTGAGGAAGCAAATGCCACAGCGTTTTCTTTTCTTCCCCATGTTAGTCCCCTCTTGGGACCTGAGAGGTGGCTCAGAGTGGGCACTCGCCTCGCCTGGTGAGGCTCTGCTTCAGATCTGCCAGCCCCACAGCAAAAGAAAACAAAAGCAGCCCCCTACTTTTTTTTTTATTTTAAAGTAATTAACTTTTTCTTTCCCCCTGTGCCTCCTCCTCTCCCCCATCTTGTCTTAAAGTTCGACCTTGGCCTTGGAGCACTTTCCCTGACTGATTTCCTCAGAGGCTTCAGGTCTTAAAATCCCCGAATAAAAGAACCAGCGGAGGGGTAGGGTGGCACTTTTTTTTTTTTTATGTTTATTTGAGAGTTGCAGGTTTTTTGTGGGGAGGGTTGGGGTTTTTTTTTCCCCCCTTCTGTGTGTGTGTGTGTGTGTGTGTGTGTGTGTGTGTGTGTGTGTGTGTTTTGGAGTGGACGAGGACCTTTGTTTCTTTTGTTCTTTGTTGTTTTTAAGATTAGCCATTCTCTGCTGCTATATTCTATGATGTCAGATTTAAACTGCAATTTTGAGATGACTGAGATGTTACTTGAGACTTTTTTTTTTTTAATGAGAAATGGCTTTGGAAATTTTTATTTTGGAGTGTACCTGTTTTAGATTTACCCACAACATTACATACTTCTCCCATCTTAATTAAAAGGCAAAAGAGGGGCAGGATTAGGGTCCCAGTTGCTTTTTCAGCGTGGACCAAGCGGGCCTAGGGGATCACCTTGTTCTTCGGAAGCGGCTCCCAGACAGATTTACAGAGCGCCAAGGCGAGGCAACGTGGGGCTCTAGCTTGCAAAGCCACCGACCCTGGAGACTGTGCGGGAGCTGCCATCCATACTGAGGGATGGGAATCAGTTTTCTGTCCTTTAACCACCTACGGTGGCAAAGGAATACACGGTGCCACTCCTGCAGTCCAGTGAACTAACCGTGCTACCCTGAGCGCTGCGCGCCAGCCTTTCCTCAGACTCTGATTGGGCGGTTCTGAAATCAGACATGTTCCTGTAGAAAGAATCTTAGGTGAGGTTGACTATGCACCTATCACGATAAAGCATAGATTGTATCAAACATACGGCAGGGAAAATCCTTCAGCAATTCTAATCCCACTTTGGGCTTTCAACGACATATACGTACATCTAAAGCAATAGCCGACGAGAACTGAATCCTTTTCTATACTGTAAAATCGCAATTGTGGAATTAAAAGAATTGTGATATTAAGGTGAAATAACCAAAATGCACACACATGCACGCACACACAGACCCATCTTAACAATTGACATGGAAAAGAGTTTTAGTCAGAGAACCTGTAATTTCATTTTGGAAATGTTTACGCATCGATTAAGGGCTTTTTCCCCCATTATTTAAGGAGCCAGATAAATTAGAAGCCGTAGAAAGGCAGCTATGAATTTGACCTTCCAAGTACCCTGTGTACCTTTATGGAACTTAATTATATCGTCAAATTGCCACAATCTCACTAAAGGATTTCTATTTGCTGTCAGTTAAAAATAAAAATCCCAAATACATTTTTATTCTTTCTACTGGGCACATTGTCTGTTTTCTTTGTAAATGCAATACAATAAACAGATTATTTAATAACGTGCATGTTTCCTGATTTCTATATATTGCCTAAGTTGTTCTGATCCTAGTTTCAGGATGGAGGAAAGAAGTGAGTGAGTATATTTTTCAGTTTTATTTATTTGGGGGGACGAGTTGGGGCCACATCCGCAGTGTTTGGGACTTCTAGGTCTGCTCAGGGATCACTCCTGGCAGGCATGGGACCATTAGGGGTGCCAGGGGCAAGCCACATGCAAGGCAAGTGCCTTACCCACTGTACTGTTCCTCCACTCCCCCCCTCTTTTTTTTTTGATGTACAATGAAATTGCACGTTTTAAATTTGAATGTGTGGTCATTTTGTGAGTTCTGATGACTTTTGGTCAATTTAAAGACCAAAAGTCATCGGAGGTGGGGTGGGAATCGCAAAACAAACTCCAAATCCCTACCTTCTTCCTCAGTTGCAATTACGGAATGTTCAAAATGCCAAAGACTTAGAAATTCTAAGGCCCTTGGTTAATAAACTATAAAACACAGATTTTTATGCATTTATTGGTCCCTTAGAATAAATTCTTAAAATGGCTGAACCAGGAAGCAAACACTTTCTTGGTGGGGTTAAGGGACTACACCCGGGTACTGCTCAAAGACTATTTCTGGCAGGTCTCCGTTTACCATGGAGTATTGGGGAGTCCGGCTGGGCCGCCTCCATCGCGTCTGCACCCAGGCCTCAAGCCATCAGACCTAACCTAGGATTGTTGCAGTAGCCCCAGAAACCCCCTGAGCATTACTTTGGGGGCTAAATAAATAAACAATATCCTGACTTGAAACAGTTCGGTTTTCCTGTAACTGAATGGGCCTGTTAATCTGCACTTTTTGTTTCTGTCTTTTGATTTTGGTTTTTGAGGCCACACCCAGCAGGGCTCAGGATTTTATTTGTGTCGTTTTCAGTATTCCTCATAGAAGGGCCTTCCCCACCCTGAAACTGCATGAACTGTTCCACTGTAACTGAGTGCTGCTAGGCGATATCTCAGCGGATAATTGTGTGGGGGGGGGGGGGTGGGGGGGGAGGGTTTTCCAATGTGCTCTGCTTGCAACATAAGGCTTCCCGACTTCCACCAGGACTGGAGGGCTGTGGAGTGGTGACAGCCTGTGCATGCTTTGCTTGTGGGAAGCCCGGGTCTGGTTTCCCTAGCACAAGACATAGCCCCTAGCGTCACTGGTGCCATATTTCAAACCCAGGACACTCAAACGCAAAACCAGGTACTTGAGCCCTTTCAGCTCAATGGTCTTCCCAACTGACCAGCTGAGGTGGTCTTGGGCCTCCACGTCGGTGTAGGGAGCCAGAATTCCTGGGGCTATGGGACACTTAGGTGTCCTCTAGGACAAAGTACAGCTCCGAAGAAGCAGCAAAGCTGAGATTGATTTTACCCCACCTTTAACTGTTCTGTGTCCCACACCACATGTCCACCAAGAAACTCTTTGGCCCCTTGAGAGCTGCTCATAAGTGGGCAGAACCTGCAGCCTTCCACTTTGTCCTTGGGAGACAAAACTGATAGGGAAAATCGGTGATATGTTGATCCTCGAGTCTGAACGTCTGTTCCAGAAATGAAGATCTTATGACTCCAGAGAAGACATTTGTGTTTCACCCACTGATTTGTTGATTATGGCACTGCTACCACCTCAGATTATTCCCCTTAAGCCAGGAAATACAAGATGTTAAATGTTTACTTTTCACTAGGCAAGTTGACATGAGCTAGTTACCCCCCAACATTTTTCTCCCTTAAGATTTTTAGTTCATTCCGTTTGACACCCCGTCAGCTGCCCTGCAATTTGAGCTTCATTCTCAGTTGTGCCCTTACAATGGTCACACTGGTTGCTTTGAATTTTCTAATTATAGAGGGAAATGGTAATTCTTTTATTTATTTTTTTGGGGGGGTCACACCTAGCGATGCACAGGGATTACTCCTGGCGGTGCTCGGGGGACCATGTGGGATGCTGGGAATCGAACCCAGGTCAGCTGCGTGCAAGGCAAACACCCTACCCACTGTGCTATTGCTCCATCCCCGGGAAATGGTAATTGAAACCAGAATGAGCCACATACAAATCTCAAAGTTACAGAAGTAACGAATTTTGCGGGTTTGGAGCATCCAGCAAGATCCCAGATGCCCCGACCTGAGCATTGGGCACTTCCTAACCCGTTTACCTTGAATGAGCTGCATTTGGTGACTCCATTCTGAGATTGGTGGGGAGGGGAGGAGGAGGAACATCATTCTGAGATGGTCCCTGAGGGCCTGTCACCATGTTCTTGGGTCTCCGGAAGCAGCTTGCCTAGTGAGTGACCCTATGGAAAAACTCAGCAAGGCCCTCAGGCTTGTGTCCACATCTTAATCAGCCTGTGGAGAAAATTCGGGCACTTTGCTAAGCCTTACTGCTATCCCTCACCCCCAGAGAATGATTTGCACACTAAACCACTTAATTCTGGATTAATTCTGGAGTTTGTCAGGGGAGCAATGGGAACTAACAGTTCACATTTTGGCTATAAAAAAGACTTGGACCGGAGCGGTAGCACAGTGGGTAGGACGTTTGCCTTGCACGTGGCCAACCTGGCTACTATCCCCGGCATCCCATATGGTCCCCCAAGCACCGCCAGGAGTGATTCCTAAGTGCAGAACCAGGAATGATCCCTGAGCATCGCTTGGTGTGACCCAAAATTTTTTTTAAAGATTTTTGACTCACACCCAGTGGTGCTCAGGGATTATTCCTTGTGAGCTCCGGGGTCCATGTGTCAGCTGCATGCAAGGCAAGTGCCCTGCCCCACTGTAGTCTCTCTCCAGGCCATAGATACCTTTCCTCTTAATCATAATGCCTTCTTGTTAACCATATCTGCCAGGTTAGAGTCCTCGTGGGTCAGTCTTGGACATCACAGCCATCCTTCCACCCCTGTCCAGTCAAGACAAGAAAAGAATATGGTACCTTGGTTCTGTGTGTTTTTTTTTTTTAATATTTTTAAGTACTACCAAATCCGAGGTTCAAAGTTCTTTTTAGGAATTTATTTGACCGACCAGAGATAATAAGTACAGCGGGTCAGGTGCCTGCCTTGCACGCAGCTGACTCAGATGTGATCCCTGAGTGCAGAGCCAGGAATTAGCTCTGAGCATATACGCTGGGACCCAAGCTCTGCCCCCCTCCCCCCAAAATTATTTGAGGGTGAAGCCACTGAAGGACTGATAATTATTAGTATTAGATGTCAACAAAAAATCCTCCCTGTTCTGGAAAGATGGAATTGTTTCCTTGAGAACAAAGATCTTGAGTGACTTGTAGCTGCTGCCCAGGCACTGGTTATTACTCAGCCCAACTCGAGCTTCAGTGAAGAAAGCTCATGGTTGTAGCAACAGCAAGGCGGTGGCCGTATAGAAACTTCTGGAAGTTGCTGTGGACCACTACAAATGCTGTTTCAGTGAGAAATAGTTTGCAGGTAGGGCATCTTTTAGGAAAACGTTTGCTTCAAAAAGTAAAATGGAGGGGGGCTGGAGTGATAGCACAGCGGGTAGGGCGTTTGCCTTGCACGCGGCCGACCCGGGTTCGATTCCCAGCATCCCATATGGTCACCTGAGCACCGCCAGGAGTGATTCCTGAGCGCAGAGCCAGGAGTAACCCCTGTTCACTGCCGGGTGAGACCCAAAAAGCAAAAAAAAAAAAGTAAAATGGAGATAAGTGGACAGGTAACTAGAATAGTTACTAGGCTACAGAATTGGCTGCATTCTTGTTTACTAAGCTTTTTGCATGAAGTCGTTTTCCGACACTGATGTACTATCCACATGAGAAAACATGAACGTGCTCTCCTTAAATCCCATCCTAACATCCCATCGTCAACAGTTTGGAAGAACATCTAGAATAAGCCACTCTGGTCAAAACTATCAGCACTCTGAGGCCTGGCCTGGCCTGGCTAGATGAGTGCATTAGCAGCGTAGAGGTGTGGCATATCCAGCCCTCTAACTCAGCCAACAGCGCTCATCAGGATCCAGACTCAACGATGAGTGTGCAGTCTGAGGGGTGCAAGGGAACGTGGGGACGTTGGTGGAGGAAAGTTGATACTGCTGGTGGGATTGCTGTTGGAACATTATGTCTGAAACTCAAGAATAACTTTGTAAAACATGATGCCATAAAAATGCATTTATTAAAACAACAACAAGAACCCACGCCTTACAAGCCAAGAAGAAGAAACCTGGGTTTTTTGTTGTCTGTGATCAGGGTTTACTCCTGGTAGGACTCAGGAGAACCGGATTGGCCCTGGCAAGGCAAGCGCCTTTTCCGCCTGCACATTTAATCTTGTTCAATGTGGGAACACCTGGGAGCGAGCAGCACCTACATGTCGTCGTACACCATGGACAAAGACCAGGCTTTCTCCAGAACTCCATTACTCACTGCAGATAATCAGCAGAACCTGTAGGGCACCGCCTGCCAGGCTTAAAAAGCACTCGCTCCTCCAGCCACCTGCTCCCTGAACAGTGCCCACATGGCTTGCCAAAAGCAACGTTTTCGGAAATGTCACAAATGGAAACAGTTCATCTATGAGGCAGAGAGCATCAAACCAAACTCAGGGCCCAGCTCTCATGGAGGGCATTGGAAGGAAAGGTGATCTGACTGCCCAAGGGAACAAAATATTGTCTGAGTTTGTTTCTTTTTTGGGGGGGGGTCACGCCCATTGATGCACAGGGATTACTCCTAGCACTGTAGTCAGGAATTATGCCTGGCAGTGCTCAGGGGACCATATGGGATGCTGGGGATCAAACCTTGAGTCGACCATGTACAAGGCAAACACCCTCCCCACTGTACTATCGCTCCAGCCCCTGTCGAGTTTTTTTGTTTTTGTTTTTTTCTTTTTGGGTCACACTTGGTGATGCTCAGGGGTTAAATCCTGGCTTTGCACTCAGGAATTACTCCTGGCAGTGCTCAGGGGACCATGTGGGATGCCGGGGGTCGAACCCAGGTCAGCCACATGCAAGGCAAATGCACTACGCGCTGTACTATCACTCGGGCCCCAGCCCAAGTTTTCTTATCCTGTGTTCACCCGATCTCTCTATGGCTTTGTGATGGGTTCCAGTTCTGATGGCCTCATCTCTGTGCCTTACGAACTTCTGAGAAGCAGTGAGGGAATGGGAAAAGGGAGAGGCGAGGACAGTCCCCTCCAACTCCGCATGTTAAGCTGGAATGATCCCTCACTCCCACAGCTGCTGCCTCCTTCAGTGGCCTGACCCTGCCTGAGCCGTGGGTCCAGCAGGATGGACTCATTGGAGTCCATTGGACTTATTATTTTCTTTCTTTTTATAATTCTCTCTCTCATTGCCATTTGCACAGAAGCCCATGAGGGACAGGAGCGTTGCTGGTTGGAGTAGGAACCGCCCATCCTAACCCTCCCTCTCCCCCAGTCCTTCCCCAGCTGCGGTGGGATCAGTTTCACCTGAGGTTTCTGTCTGTCAAGGCCTTTTTGTCACGGGGGACTGCCAAATTCTAATCCTAAATGAAAGGCTTCAGAACTTGAGAGTAGAAAGGGAAGCTTAGAAGGAATATTTTAATCTCCGAAGAATTCAATTTCCACGGTTTCCATTGTCAGGGAAATTGATGACCTGCAGCATTAGAAAAAAAAGGATGAGTTATAATATTCTTTAATGCCAAAAAAAAAAAAACCCTCCCTAAAAAAAAACCACTTTTAATCTAACCCTACCTACCCAGACAGATTCGAACTTCTTCAGTGGGAGTATTCCAGGCTTCCTCTGCAAGCCCAAGTTCTTCCTTAAGCATCTATGTTGCTTCTTTGCCTGTTTCCACTCCGGAGAAACCTATGTTCTCTCTCTCTCTTTCCATTTTAATAAATCACCGTGTGATACAGCTACAGACTTAAAATCTTTCATGATTGCCTTCCAGTCAAACAATGTTCGAGTACCCATCCTTCCACCAGTGCCCATTCTCAACCACCAGTGTTCCCAGTATCTTTCCCCCCAACCCCCAACCCCTACCAACCTTCTGCCTCTGTGGCAGGCACATTTTCTCTTACTCTCTCTGTCCTTTTGGGTATTATGGTTTGCAATTCAGCTACCAAGTAGTCATCATGTTTGGTCCATAGTCTACCTGTGTTCTCTCTTAAGCACATCTCTCTCTCTCTCTCTCTCTCTCTCTCTCTCTCTCTCTCTCTCTCTCTCTCTCTCTCTCTCCCTCTCCTCTCAGATCTTGCTAAGTTTCAGTAAAAACTATCTTCCTTCACCAAAACAAGTACAAGTTCATGAGTCTTAAAATCTAACATCCAGGGACTGGAGTGATAGCACTGCAGGTAGGGCGTTTGCCTTGCATGTGGCTGACCCGGGTTCAATTCCCAGCATCCCATATGGTCCCCCGAGCACCGCCAGGAGTAATTCCTGAGTGAAGAGCCAGGAGTAACCCCTGTGCATCGCCGGGTGTGACCCAAAAAGAAAAATCTAACATCCAGAGCGCCACGAGATTTAGCCCCATGGTCCTCCCAGATTACAATGGAGTCACAAAGGGGGAGAGGGGCATTATAGTTTTCTTGAACTCAGTAATTCTACTCCAGTACCAACACAAAAAGTAATGATGCTAGAGACTGACTTTTCAGTGACTAACAACCAAGGCCTAGTTTAGCAGTGAATGGGACCCAGTGCAGCAGTTTTTAAAAACTTGAATAATGACCTTGCCATGATAAAAATGTTTCTGTTCTTCAGGTTTTCTACTTGAGAAAATGTGCTTGCTCTCCCAGTAGCCGTCGCTGGGGGAGCTAGTGAGAGATGTGACCAGCTGGACTGGAATCTCATTTTAAGCAACTCTGAGGCGGCTGCGCACATCACAGCCTGAGGCTGTGCGGGTATTCAAGGGAACTCACTATTCCCACCGGGGTAATGGGTCTTTTGCAAGGGGTTGGAAGGAACTTCACACACATTAGAAGTTTAAGGGGCTGTAGCTCAAGGATGGAGCATGTGTAAGGTCCTGGATTTGACACCCCCCCCCCAAAAAAAAGAATAAAGTTCATTTGAAGATTATTCTTCCTTTCTACAAAGGAGGGCCTGGAAGTATCTTCTTTAGCTTATTATTTTCTTTCTTTTTGTTTTTTTGGTGGTTGGGAAATGGGGTTGAGCCACACCCAGAGATGTTCAGGGGTTACTCCTGGCTCTGCACTCAGGAATTACTCCTGGCGATGCTTTGGGGACCATATGGGATGTCGGGGGTTGAACTTCGTGCTATCGCTCATGCCCCAGTAATCTTCTTTAAAGTGTCATCTTAATATTAAATCTCATTTTGGAAACTTAATAGAGGAAAAATTGTACATCCTGCTTCCTTTTGAGTCAGACATTAAGGCCGGTTAATTTGTGTATTTCTTTTTGTCTCAAATCTCAGGAAGCATAGAACTAAATTTAATTCCCAGTTACGGTAATTCTGTTAGCCTTGTTTTCTAGAGTATTTGTTTTCTTTTCTATGACTTCTATATTCTCTTATTAGGTTTTCCAGTGTGTGTGTCTTACAAATCACTTAAAAGTCTTTCTGAAAACGGGTTCAGAAAACAGAACCTGTTTCTAAAAACAACCTCTTCTTCTTTGCCAGGTTCCACACAAGATTAAAAAAAAAAAAAGATTCTTTAAACCACCTGCCTAGTATTCTCTTCATTTGGGTGGGGGGGTTACACCCGGCGATGCACAGGGGTTTCTCCTGGCTCTGCACTCAGGAATAACTCCTGGAGGTGCAAGGCAAACACCCTACCTGCTATGCTCCAGCCCCTCTTCATATTTCTTTTGCATCTTTTTCTATGTCTCAGGATGCAAGTCACTTAAGGGTTCCCATTTGCCATAAAGGTCTCTCCTGCTGCCTGCCTCTTGCTCCCCCAATACCTGTTACTCTCACCCCAGGCCATGGGGCAGCCCCTGCCTGGTCCCAGCATGCAGCACACCCTCCAGTGAAGGTGAAGGTACTCACCGATCCTTCAGCCGCTCAGACTTCCTCTGCAATGAAAGAGAGAAATGGTCTCTGCCTACATTCAAGCCTGTTTTTCAGGAGCATTCCCAGTCCACGACTCCCTCTCCCTTGTTCTAATGCTGACCCATTTGTAACTCCTGTCACATGACTATCTGTCTCCCTTATGAGGCCTGAGGTCCAGATTCCTTCATTCCCACTGAATCCCGGTGCTAAAAGCTAAAAGATGTTCGTGGGGCCAGAGCCATAATACAGTGAGTAAGGCATTTACCTTGCATGCAGCCAACCAAGTATGATCGCTGGCACCCCAAATGGTCCCCGGAACTTGCCAGGAGTGACTCCCAAATGCAGAGCTAGGAATAATCCCTGAGCCACCAGGTGTGGCCCCACAACCCAAAAAATAAAATATTCATGGGCCCAGGAGCTGTGATTGGTTGGAAAGGTAGATGATGTCAGAAATATTGCTAGTGAGATAATACAGTGGGGAAGGCACTTGCCTTGCATGTGGTCAACCATATTCAGTCCCCGGCAGCCCAGACAGTTCCCCAAGCTCCACCAGAAGTGATCCTTGAGTGTAGAACTACTAAGCACCACTGAATACTGCTGGGTGTGGCCCCAAAACAAACCAAAAGGATTTGCAAGGAAAAGGAGAACTAACATTAATGTTCAGTGATTAAAGTGTAATGTTCATTAATCACCTCTTGGGTACAGGCACTGTCAGTGCTTTTTATATGCACGAGTTCTCAACAGTATTCTTTCTTTGTTTTGCAGAGCAGGGGAGGATTGTTGAGGTCACACCCAGCTATGCTCAGGGCTTACTCCTGACTCTGCACTCACCAACATCAAGTTTACTTAATGAAAGTGTATGATTTGGAAGCCTGAGAAATAGTACAGGGGTTAAGGCTCTTGTCTTGCATATGACTGTCCCCAGTTCGATCCCCAGCATCACAGGGCCTGATCATACCCCATCCTCAGCCCTCACCTTGAACCACCAACCCCACTGGGCACCCTGGAACTGCTGAGCACTACTTAAGAGACCCAAAATGAAGTGTAAGCGTTGATGAGATTTGGCATATTTCCTATTTAATTCCAAAACAGTTGCATCATCCAAAGAGAACCCTGTACTCATTACTAATTACTCTCAATTTCTTCTCCTTGCCAGCTCTTGGCAACTAAAATCTAACTTTCACCTCTGTGGATTTCCCTATTCTGAGCAATCTCTATAAATGGAATGCTACAACATGATCTTTTGTATGTGACTCCTTTATTTGTGGGGGGGGCATGCTTAGGATTTACTCCATGCTCTGTGCTCAAGGATCACTCCTGGCAGGCTCAAGGGGTCAAAAGGGGTGCCAGCTCTATTATCTCCCCAACCCCTGACATCTTTCATTTAACACAGTTTTCAAGATTCATCCATATTGAACCAGTGAATGGTACTTCAATGACTGACTGCTACTCCCCTGTCTGGATTTTGTTTCCCCAGTCATCAAGCATTTGAGCGGTTTCTACTTGGGGGAGTATAATGCTGCTGTGAACATTTGTGTACGCTTCATCATGTGGATACAGATTTCCCATTTTCTTGCATTGCTGTTTCAGTGTAGAATTGCAGGTCATAGGGGAAGTGTGGAACTATCTGAGGAACTGCCTGCCAGGCTACCATTTTCACAAACAGCAGAAGGTTTCGAAGGTATTTTTCTCCACATCCTCCCTAACACTTGTTACTGTTCATCTTTTTCATTAGCCCCTGAGTGCATGGGAAGTGGGTATTTTGTTGTGTTTTTAATTAATTTGTTCCATTTGGGGGTCACATCCAGCAATGCTCAGGACTTACTCCTGGCTCTGCACTCAGGAATCATTCCTGGTGGTGCTTGGGGACCATATGGGATGTTGAGAATTGAATTCAGGTTGGACGTGTACAAGGTAAGTTTCCTCCCCGCTGTACTCTCTCTCCAGTTTCTCTTACATGGTTTTGATTAACATCTTTCTGATGCCAGATTTAAGCATCTTCTCACATATTTATGTGTATCTCTTCTTGGGAGAAATGTCCAGATCTTTTGCCCATTTAGTAAACTGGTTATTTGTTATTTCATTGTTGAATTATCAATTCTTAATGTACACTTGCTACTAGGACTACTTCTTTGATTTGCAAATATTGCCAATCTATGTGTTTTCTGTTTCTTAGTTTTTGAAACAGAAAAGCTTTATATTTTGATGAAATCAAATCTCTGTTTTCCTTTGGTTGCTTAGGTATCATATTGCCAAAAAAATCAAGGTTAATAAGGTTTTCTTTATATTTCACTTCTAAGATTTTGGGATTTTTTTGTAGTTTTTTTTTTTAATTTTGTTTTGTTCTAGGGTCACATCCAGCAGTGCTGTGTGCCCCGAGGTCACTCCTGGCAGTACGTGGGGGACCATGGAAAGCATGTGCTCAGCCCATTGAGCTATTTCTCCGGCCCCCTTCTAAGACTTTTGTAATTATATTTGGGTCTTTGATTGTTTTTGAGTTAACTTTTATACCTGATATCAATCAGGTAGGGTTTTTTTTTTACTTTTTTATTGGGGTCACTCCTTTGGTACTTGTGAATCAGAAAAATTAGAGAAGGAAGAGGCAGATTAGGGAGAACCTCTGAGTGACCCATCCTAAGAGCTGGGCAAAGATAAATAATAGGTCGAAAATCACAAGGGTACAATAAGAACACTCAGCCAATGGCTCAGTAAAGTGGGGAGCAAGGGAGAGGAACAGGAGAGAAAAATGCTTCCGCCTCTCTGCTCGACCCACCTCAGTCACCAGCGCTCAGGAAATGCCTCGCGTAGGTCAGGACTAGTAAGAGTCTGCTGTGAGCCCCTAGAGGGCACGAGGTTTGTGTCCCACCTGCCCCATGAGACAACCTGGAGTCCACTTATTCTTGGAGATGATCCCAGCCACCTGATTCCTCAGGGAGCCACAGACTTAGGCCGGAACAAGGAATTACTTTTTGCAGGAAAGGAAACTCAGTCCTCAGCTCAGCATAGGCATTCTGAGTCCGACCCTGCCGTTGAGGAGGTGAAATTGAAATTGTCAAGCAAGATAGTTTTGTTTGCTTGTTTGCTTGTTTGTTTGTTTGTTTGTTTGGGGGCCACACACTGCAGTGCTCAGGCTCTGCACAAAGGGATTACTTCTGGGGCCAAAGAGATAGTACAGCCGGTAGGGCGTCTTTGCATGCAGCCAATCTGGGTTCAATCTGGGTTCAATCTCTGACATCCTATATGGTCCCTCATGCACTGCTAGAAGTAGTTCCTGAGTGCAGAGCCAAAAGTAACCCCTGAGCATCGCTGGTTGTGATCCAAAAAGCTTAAAAAAAAAAAAAAGGAATTACTCCTGGTGGTCTCAGTAGACCATATGGGATGTGGGAGCTCAAACCCAGGTAAGCCTTGTGCAAGGCAAGCACCTTTCCCGCAGTACTATTGGTCCAGCTCCTGAAACAAGAGAGTTTTTATTGAACAAAACTGATTAGAAAGCTGTGGGGTGGGGAATAGATGAAATGAACGTTCATAGGAGAACAAAGGCTTCCTCAGAGTGGAAAAAACCAGCAAAGAGATAGAGAGACAGGGAATTAGATACCTTTTTTAAGAACAGGGCCTTGAAGAACAAGTCTGAAGCAGCGGGTTTAACTTTATTCTTTTGCAGACAGATATCTTGTTCCTCCACCACTCAAAGGACTTTTCTTGGGGTTGCAGAGACAGCTTAGAGGACTGGGATGGCTTGTGGGTGGCCCAGTTTCAATCCCTAGCATCCCATGAGAACAGTCCTCAAGCACCACCAGATGTGGTGAAAAACTTAACACAAAATTAACAAAATATTTAAAGCACCCTCCCAGAACTAAATGACTTCTTGAGGCCTAAGTTTAAGGCATTATGCCGACCCTGTTTTAATCCCTGGCACCACATATAGTCTCCTAAGTCCCTTCAGAAGTGATCTCTGAATGCAGAGCCAGAAGTAAGCCCTGAGCACGACCAGGTGTCCCTTCCCCCCACAAAGAAAAAAGAATACAAATGAATGATATGTGTTGAGGCTGAGAAGATGGCTCAAAGGACTGGAGCACTTGCTTCACATGGAGGAACATCGGGTTCAGCCCTGCAAAGCACCAAGCCAGGAGTAACTTCTCAAGCACCTCTAGGAGTGGTACAAAACTGAATTCACGTGCGTCATCTCACAGCGTTAAAGATGGTGCAGCCCTGAGCCTGTGGATGCTTCCATTTGTGGGGACTAAATGGAAAGGCTCTATGGAGGCCCTTCATACCCCTGCTTCCCACAGGCGCTCCGTTCACTGACTTCAGCTCCCTTCCCTGTGGGCACAAGCATCTGCCCTCTAAGGACATAGGGGTGCCCACGGCTGCCCTAGACCAAGTTCCCCACAATCTGCAGCCACCACATCTGTGTCCCGTTCTATACCCTGACAACTCTCCCCCTAAAGCCCCATGAGATTTTATTTTATTTTATTTTTTGCTTTTTTGGTCACACAAAGTGATGCTCAGGGCTTACTCCTGGCTCTGCACTCAGGAATGACTCCTGGAGATGCTTGGGGGACCATATGGGATGGCAGGAATCAAACTCGGGTCAGCTGCATGCAAGGAAAACACCCAACCCACTGGACTATTGCTCCAATCCCACCCGTGGGATTTTAGACCCAACCTGCTGAGATATGGGTCTAAAATCCTGCATGGGCAGGAACCACGCCAGCCCTCACCCCCCAGGGCTGGACCAGGGCTCAGAGATAGAGCAGGCTGGAGGACATCACTGTCCCTCACACATGCCGTTGCCTGTGTCACTGGCCAGTCGCACCTTCCCCTTGGCCTCTGGTGCCCAGGCGAAGAGGGGGCGGGGAGCCTGTTACCTTTTCCGTCCGCCTTGTAGTCGTCGGGGAGCAGCTTGTCCTGCCGGTAGCCCAGCACAAAGGCCAGAAAGGAGAGGATGAGGGCGTCCCCGATGCTGAGGATGGCCAGCATGAAGGCCCAGCGGATGGTGCAGTGGCCCAGCGTGTACTTGCCCGTCTGCTCCCCACACATGCGCCGCACCTCGCTCGAGTCCCACCCATCTGGGTAGACCAGGCAGCCGATCATCAGGCCCGTGGCTGTGGGACAAAGGGGCCACACAGTCAGCTCAGGAGTGTCCCGCCTGGCACAGCTTCGACTTGTCACCTTGTTTAGACAGTTCATGACAGGTCATCAAAATCCCCCAGGTGCCAATTTTCTCTCACTCCGGATGACAGTTACAGTGAGTAAGCTTTAATTTCCCATTTGACAGACTAGAAAACAGAGGTCGAATAGCTGAGGAAGTGACTTTCTCAGGCATTCAGACATGGCAGCACCAAGGCCTGGATTCACAACTTTGGACTTTCACAACTGGATTCACAACTTGACTTCACAGTTTATTCTCCTCACATGCTTTGCATGCCCGCATGGGCCCCTGAACACTATTGAGAGTAACTCCTGAGCACTGAGCCTAGAGTAGCCTCTGAGCATCGCTGCGTATAGCCAAAAAATAAAAAGGTTAATTCTTCCTACACCTGTCTGGAAGCATCACTCCAAAGAGTTTAATATATTTTGTGACATTTCAGACTCAGCAGCGACCTGAGCACTGTTGAGAAGATACTTTGGGTGGAGAAAGGGAACCTGCCAGAGCCTTTTTATTTTTTTTGGGAGGGGGTCACACCTGGCAATGCACAGGGGTTACTCCTGCTCTGCACTTAGGAATCACTCCTGGCGGTGCTCAGGGGACCATATGGGATGCTGGGAATAGAACCTGGCTCAGCCATGTGCAAGGCAAACACCCTACAGGCTGTTCTATTGCTCCAGTTCCTGCTGGAGCCTTTGATAAAACCTGCACTTTCCCCTTTGGGCCTGGCCTGCGCAGGTGAAGGGGCAAAGGGGCATCTGCTCCAGACTCTCCCTCCTCCTCTTTTCTTTGCTCCTCCCCTTGCCCTTCTTTAGTGCCTCCCCCTAGGTGCTGTGGACAGACCCTGAGACTCAGAAACAGATTGTTCCTCGGGGGACACAACTCACCCACCTATGGGCCTGGGCACAGTGGCACCCAGGAGACCTCCGGGCAGTGGCCAGCTCCACATTCGCAGGCTCTTCTCCCATCTGTGAAGCCTGACTAAGGTGGACCACAAATAGAAAATGCATGTGCCCGTGTCTGGTACAGGGGTAAGAGGCCAACTGAAGGTATTTTTCCTGTTAGTCCCCATGGCAGTGGAGCCGGGGAGAAGCAGCTTCCACTGGTGTGGCCATTGTTAGGGCTGCCCACAGGGCGGGCATGTGGCTCAGGGGTGGAGGGCTTGATGGGCATATGTCAAGCCCTGGGTTTTATCCCCAGCCCTAAGAAAGAAAAGAAAGCAAAGTTAAAAGGGGAAGGAAAAGAGGGAGGAAGGGGCGGGAGAGATAGCACAGTGGATAGGGCGTTTGCCTTGCACACAGCCGACCCAGGTTCAATTCCCAGCATCCCATATGGTCCCCTGAGAACCACCAGGAGTAATTCCTGAGTACAAAGCCAGGAATAACTCCTGAACGTCGCCGGGAGTGACCCCCAAAAAAAAAAAAAAAAAAAAGAGGGAGGAAGAGAAGGAAGGAAGTAAAGAAAAGGTTTTGGCTTTTTTTGGTCAAACCTTGGCCCTACACCGGGGTTACTCCTGGCTCTGCACTCAGGAATTACTCCTGGTGGTGCTCAGGGGACCATATGGGATGCTGGGGATCAAACGTGGGTCGGCCGCATGCAAGGCAAACACCCTCCCTGCTGAGCTATCACTCCAGCCCCCTCCAGGTGTCTTAAACGCACAGTATCAGCCCGTCTTCTAAAGAGCCGGACAAGGTATACTGTGGTGACCTGGACAGAAGAACCGAGGCTCAGAGAGGTGAGCTCGCCCTGCCCGAGCTCCCTGAAGCTAAGCCCATGCTCAGCCAACAGCTGGGTCCCAGAAGATGCATCACCATGTTGAGCTCCAGGCCCACCGTCTTTCTTTTTTCCTGGCCCCAGGTTTCCTGGGGTTCAGCTCAGTCACTGAGGCCTCTGGAAACACAGCCCTGTCCCAGCTGCTGTCCAGTGGCCTGTGTCCCCCTTAGCCCTCCCTGGGCTCATCTTCCATGGAACATGAGCCGCCTTTGCGCTCCTTCTGAATGTTTCATGCGATGGCGCCTGAAACTCAGTGTCTCGGCTCAGTGACCCAGGCAGGGCCTGACTCAGGTGTCCTGGGGCCCCCTGGCCTCCGCCCAGCGCTGCTGGTTTAGCAGAGGATGCCTGTTGCAGGTGGTTGAGGGAAAGAACAGAGTAAGGAGGGGTTGGGTTGGGGGGATTCCAGCACCCATAACTCTGACAGAGACCCAGCCAGCAAGCAGGCCAGACTCCCCTCTACAAAGTTTACCAAACAGTCTTCCCGCTCGGCCTCGGTCTCATGGGGAGAGGGGGATGGCAGGGCTGTGCGGTAGGCAGAGTTACCTGGAATCAACCGTGGAGCCTGAGTCTAAGAACAGGAATCCAGGGTTGGGTCGATCCCTCCCTCTGGGCACAGACAGAGATGCTTCACATATCTGTAACGAGGCTCCTCCAGGATTTTTTTGCAAATCATTTTACTTGTGCAAACATACAGTGCAAGAAAAATGTTCTGGGGTCTGGAGCGATAGCACAGCAGGTAGGACATTTGCCTTGCACGCGACTGACCCGGGTTCGATTCCCAGCATCCCATATGGTCCCCCGAGCACTGCCAGGAGTAATTTCTGAGTGAAGAACCAGGAGTAACCCCTGTGCATCGCTGGGTGTGATCCAAAAAAAGCAAAAAAAAATGTTATGGGGGCATATTCAGGATCCATTTCTTGGATCGTGCCACCTTCATTCATCCAGAACATGTCAAATTTGACTCTGTGTGTGTGTGTGTGTCTGTGTGTGTGTGTGTGTCTGTGTCTGTGTCTGTGTGTGTGCATGCACCACACCCCGCGATGTTCAGGGGTTACTCCTGAATCTGCTGAGGGATCACTCCTGACAGTGCTCAGGGGACAATATGGGACACGGGGGGATCAAACTCAGGTTTGACCACATGCAAAGCAAACACCCTGCCTCCTGTACTATTGCTTCAAATTTGATTTTCTATAGCCTGGCCAAAGTCTTGTCTTCTCTCTGAATCCCAGATTTCACATCTATAGTTGGGTAAAAGGTAAAGATAAAGGCCCTCCCGTTGATCGTCGATTTGCTCGAGCGGGCCCAGTAACGTCTCCATTGGAGACTTTGTTGTTACTGTGTCTGGCATATCGAATACTCTCGGTAGCTTGCCAGGCTCTCCGAGAGGGGCGGAGGAATCGAACTCGGGTCGGCCATGTTGGCTGCTTGTAAGGCAAACGCCCTACCCTCTGTGCTATCGCTCCAGCCCCAGCAACTGTATGAAATTACTTAAATTATTTTACCTTTCTGGATCTCCATTTTCACATGTACAAAATGGAAATAATATTACCTAGTTTTCAAGATTCTTATGAGGTTGGGTTAGGCAGGCTAATAATCTCTGGGGTCCCCTTCAGCTTGGATACAATCTGAGACTGTGTCTTATGGTCTGAGTTCAGATCCCTGTTCTGTCCCCCACAAACCATCATCAGGATAATTCTGATGCTCCTTCCAAGCAACAATTTTGAGATGGTTTCACACTGGCCTAAAGCCCCTGTGAGCAATGTGTGTGAAAACCAGGTCTTGGTACCCCCCATTTCTCTCTCCCTCTCCTTTCTTTCTTTTTCTTTGGGGGGAGCACAATTGGTGATGCTCAGGGATTACTCCTGGCTCTACACTCAGGAATCTCTCCTGGCAGGGCCCAGGGGGCCATATGGGGTGTTGGGGATCAAATCCGGGTTGGCTATGTGGAAGGCAAGCACCCTACCCGTTGTGTTATCTCTTTGGCCAGACAATACCCCATTTCCTCCTTGGCTCTAGAGAGCAGAACAAACTGGCCCAAGGACCAACAGGCTTGTCTGACCCAGGAGCAGGAAAGGAGACAGGGTAGTCTTTGCCCTTGAACATGACCACAGCCCCCCCAACGCATACATTGTTTTAAAAGATCCTGGTCACATGCACATACACACATCACATCATATTATCCTCACTTGCTGGAATCATATCATCTGGTCACAACAACATTCACTCTACAGTTAAAAAAAAAAAAGGGAATTTAAATATCAGGTTCTACAGGTCAGGCTTCGCTTCATATAACCATCCCAGGTTAACTCCTGTACCCAGCTGGCTAACAATGACAGACATGTCCTTCCCAGGTCAGGAATGACCAGGTGCCCGGGAGTCAGCTCAGCTGCCTTCTGTGTCTGTTCCCCACCTGCTCTGTAAGATGCGGGCCTGAACTCGGAACTCTTGTGGTCCTTTTGTCTCACAATGGAGACGTTACTGGGCCCTCTCGAGCAAATTGATGAACAACGGGAGGACAGTGCTACAGTGCTTTGTTCTGGGGCCACACCCAGGGTACCCAGGGCTTATTCCTGGCTTTGAGCTTCAGGATCACTCATAATGGTGCTAGGGCGACCCTATGGGTTGCTGGCGAGTGAAACGGTGGAGTCAGCCACGTGCAAAGCTGTACTCTCCTCGCTTGGGATCTTTTTGGAGTCAGACATTCTAAGATTCTCCACTCCTTGGAGACTTCAGCAGGGCACTGAGCCGGGCGGAAGGAGCCAGAGTCCCCAGAGAGCTCAAGGTGGGCTAAGCTGTACCTGTGACCTGGACTGGGGGGTCCTGTCTTCCATTGCCCCATTACCCCCGCTCACCCGCAGCCAGCTGCATCCACGCACAGATCTTGTAGACGGTGGCTGTGTTGCAGACGAAGAACAGACTGAAGCAGATGATGGAGCCGATGATGAGGAACATGGCCAAGGCGATGAAGAACATGGCCGTCTTGAACGCTCTCGACGGGATGGAGGCGAAGTCCAGCGGGCCCCCCTTGCAGATGAGCTCGGAGGACAGCACGTTGCCCACGCAGTAGGAGAACAGGCCGAAGTAGCCTGCCTGGGGCGTGTTGACGCTGTCTCCGATCCAGTAGGGCTGGATAAAGAGGGCCATGACCAGCACGGAGAAGCAGATGGTCAGCGTGCCCCACATGACCCCCACGGCCCTGGCATTGCGCACGTAATTGGTGTGGTAGATCCTCGCGGCCTCCTGGGCGGGCAGTAGCTTCACCATGATCAGGGGCCTGCAAGAATTCGGGGCTTTGGGCAAAGCAGGGCCCAGAAGTGAGCGGCACTGCGGCCAGAACTGGGAAGGAGGCTGAGGTCAAGGTTCTGGCTTAGGATTCTTGGAGCGCAGGAGAGGGCCAAGAGGACCACCCTGGCTGCCCGATAGGGAAGCCGGTCGGCGCGGTGCCGGTGTGCCAGCTGCCCGGTGCGGGCCCCGCTGCCCAGCGCCGCCCCGCCCCGCCCCGCCCCGCCTCCACCGCGGGCGCTGCTTCAGCACCGCGGACAGCGCCAGGCGCCCCGGGAGGCGGGGTGAGCGCGCTCGGGGGGTCCCCTCACCGCGCACAAGACCCGTGCACCCCGCACGCGGCGTCACGCTCCCGAGCCAGAAGATCGAGCCGTGGCCCGCGCAGCCAGTTCCAGCCCGACCGCGGAACCGCTTCCGGGGTGCGCTCCCCACCCCTCCGGGCCCTCAGCTGGCTCACTCGCGTCCTGAAGCCCCAAACCCCTGGAGCGCAGCAAGGTCTGGGTCTCGTCCCTGTCCAGCCCTCAACAATCACTAAGAGCCTGGGCTGGGCTAAGCCCTTTGTTCGAGGCCGCCTTCCCTAAGCTAGAACCGGAGACTTGAAAAGGTCAGGGCTCCTCCTCGTCTATACGCACGTGTATTTTCTTGCACATGTGTGTTGCACGGATTCTTTCTTAAATTCCCTTCGAGAGTGTGATGACAGAAGCATCTAAAAAGCATTGCAAGCTGTCTTGAACCAGGAAGATACTTCAGCAGCTGGAGCGCTAGCTTCGCCTCCAGGAAGCCTGCCCTGGTTTTGAACTTGAGCACCCATTGTCCTTCTCCATCACCACCGGGTACGAGCTGGAGGGAGGACTGAGCTGAGACTACCCCCCTCCCAGCGCTCCAGGATGTGCCTCCCCCGTAAAAAAAAAAAAGTTTCTACTATCTTCTTCTGAGCTTCCTCAAACCAATAATAATAGCAATAATAATATTAATAATAATAATATTTTTGTTCTTTTCAATATATTTCTTCTCTTGTTTTTCTGTTTTTGCTGCGGATTTTTTCTCTTTTACAAAATATATATTTCTGGGGCCAGGAAAATAGTGCAATGGTTAAGAAACTTGCCTTGCACATGACTGAACCTGGTTTGACCCCCAGCACTGCACTTGGATCCTCCAGGGCTGTCAGGGTGATGTCTGAGCACAGAGCTAGGAGTAAGCCCTGAGCACAACAGGGTGTGGTCCCAAAACAGAACATTCGATCACATATCTCATATTTATGTTAGGTAAAGTAACATGTAAAATTTCTAGCCCATACCCTCACACATTTAAAAAGTATTGAAAATGTTCAGTCTTGGTATTAGATTTGGTTTCGGTTTTTAGTTTGGGGACCACACCTGGTCATTTCTGCCAGGCTCAAGGGACCACCTGGGATGCCAGGGACAGAATCTGGATTGGCTGCAGCAAGGTAAACACACTACCCACTGTACATCCTCTCTGGCTCTCAAATTAATATTTTTGTCTTCATTAACATATTGCACGCAGCCGACCTGGGCTGACCCCGGTTCTATTCCTCCACCCCTCTCAGAGAGCCCGGCAAGTTACTGAGAGTAACGGTCTCACACGGTAAAGCCTGGCAAGCTATCTGTGATGTATTCGATATGCCAAACACAGTAACAAGTCTCATATTGGAGACATTACTGGTGCCCACTCAAGCAAATTGATGAACAATGGGCGGACAGTGCTATTAACAGAATGGTATATTCCCTTCCTTCTATAAGTACTGCTGGGTACAATTTAGTGTCCGTGTTGTTGTTGTTGTTGTTTTCACTTATTTCATCATTAGTGCATTGAAACTACAGTCATTTTTGTCTTTCTTTGTTTTGGCAGCCTAATTCGGCCTTGAGATTTCATCACTGGTGAGAGAAAAAATCTGGAGTTCCGACCTCCGTTGATGGTCAAGATTCAGGGACGCTGTCTCGTTTGCCAAGGCATCGAAAATCAGATGGGCTGGACACGTAATGAGATTTGGAGACGACTGCTGGACTAGAGCCATTACCGACTGGATTCCACAGGACGTCAAAAGATCGCGTGGCCGCTCACCTATGAGATGGTCAGACTTCTTTGTCAAGACCCTGAACGATTGGATTGAGGCTCTTCATGTTCCTAGAATGAGCAGACGCCATTGTGCTACACAAGCACGTGACAGGGACGAATGGAGACTTTACTGGTGCCCGCTCAAGAAAATTGATGAGTAACGAGATGTCAAGTGATCAAGTGATTCATCATTAATATTTTGATATTAAAAATATTTTGGGTCTGGAGAGATAGCACAGTGGGTAGGGCGTTTGCCTTGCACGCGGCTGACCTGGGTTCGATTTCCAGCATCCCATATGGTCCCCTGAGCACCGCCAGGAGTAACTCCTTAGTGCAGAGCCAGGAGTAACCCCTGTGCATCTCCAGGTGTGACCCAAAAAGCAAAAAAAAAACCAAAAAAAAAAACAAAAACATTTCAATGCTCATATAAGGATGAAGAGTATGTACATATAAAATCAATTAGTTTCTTCCTCCTGAGGGGGTATTTTGGCAGCTTTCAGGGGTCTGTTTCTTGTTTTGTCTGCTGAGGGGCCTAGTGCTGTACACGGTAGTGCTCCAGGGTCTCTGCCAGCAGTGCTCAGACCGAACCTGGGACTCCCGCATGCAGAGCATGTTCTGATGGTGCTCTGGCTCTAGGGGGCAGTGGTCTGTTGTGCAGGACACCCCCCTCGAGAGGGGAAATCTGCAAAGAAAGTAGAATTTCACACACGCTCTCACTCCCGCTGCCCTTCCCAAGATCCTAAGACCCCAGAGTCCATGAACATTGCCTTACTTAGAAAAAGGGTTTTTTTGCATGATTCTAAGGATTCTGAGATAACCAAGAAGCTCCTGGCTTAGCTGGGTGGGTCCTAAAACCCAGTGATATGCATCACCTGGGGCAGAAAAAAACAACTTGAAACAGGAACAGGTCTGAAGCAGCAGCAGCCAGAATGTAGGCAACAGCTGCTGGCTCACACAGTCATCTCTCTGCCACCTCTTATGCCAAAGAACTGAAAACTTCTTGCCACCCCAAAACCTGCGCAAAGCTTATGCAGTGACTTTCTTCATCATCGCACCAAATGTTTCAGAAACAATCTAAATATCCGTTAACTGGTGATTAAATAAATACAGGAGGGTACCACCACTCAGCAAAATAAAGTCACAAACAACTCAAGCCTACACCATATGCACGGGTAAGAGGGAAGGAGGGGGGTGGAAGATAATCCTGGTGGTCTGATTGGTCCTTTTAAACTTCACTCACAAGGGGAGTAGCCAGTCAGGTTGCAGAAACAGCTAAGGGGGTGGGGCGAATAGGTTTTAAATATATATGTAAACATAGGCCACAGCATATGATTGCGACAGGTAGATGGTGTGGACTGACAGCACAAGCATTCGGTCTGGTGGACAACAGATGCAGACTGAAGGTCTGCAACCAGCAACTTGTCCACAAACAGCAAAGGCTCAGGTCATGGCCTGAGCCGCGGAGCTGTGGAGAGGCAGGGTGGTGAGAACCAGCCAGTCCCAAACAACAATGCATCTGCGGCACGGGAATCCGTGAAAAGCCACTGGCGTGGCTCTCCCGGCCACAGGGGTCACAGGCGCCGGGGCTGGTAGGGCCCCCAGAGATCAATCTTCCGGAGCTGCTGGAATAAAGAGCTGTTTCACCACCGACATCTGGTGGTGGGCGGGGTCATCTTCCACACTGCCCACCAGGACCCACAAGTTAGGGAGACTCCACTGTCACGAGCACCTCTCAAAGGGGCTGTTTCCGTGAACTCAGGAAGATACTTCATTTCCGGAACCAGGTCCCAGCGACAGTCACACTGCAAGGCAAATGCCTCACCTCCTGTAGTGTCTCGCCAGCTCCATTCCACTTCTTTCCTCTTTATTTGTGGTGCTTCGATACCCCAGAGGCTCACTCTTTAATGGGGTGCTCACGCATTCTGATTGCTCACTGAGAGGTAGAACGGTGCTCACGTGGGTACTTGCCAGGGGTCACACTTCCTGGTCAGGGTGCTCAGGTGTGTTGTTGTTGTTGTTGCTGCTGCTGTTGTTGGACCACACCCGGCTGTGTTCAGAGCTGCCCCAGAGACCATATGGGGCACCGGGAATCAGGCCCAGGTCAGCAGCATAGAAAGTAAACAGCACCTCACGCTCTGTACCATCTCTCTGGCCCCCTCACTAGTCTCTTGTTTAGTGGGATTCACCAGGGGTCATCCACCTTTCACTTGGGGTGCTCACACACACACACACACACACACACACACTCACACACACATTTGTTTGTAGTGCTACTGGCAGTCATTTGGGTGCTGGAGGTCACAGCAGAGCTGCCAGGCTCAGGTCCCAGAGCAACCAGGACCACACATGGCACATGCAGAAACAGCAGGGATTGAACTCCTAGTGAGTGCAGTTCACTGAACCCTTCCCAGGGGGCTCAGGGTGGATTTTTATTCATTGTTCCCCACACCCCAGATCAAGATTTCAAGCCATTTCTGCACTCCAGACATCCCTCTCCTGCCCCTTCCCGGTCAATCCCCTCCATACGAGACCTGTCTCACGTGGGGTTGAGTTTGCATCTCTTAAAGTTCATGTCTGTGGATCACACGGGCTCTACTCTTTTGACTGTAGCTCATCTCATTCAACATCAAGCCTGCGAGATTAAACCATAGGGTTGTATGTGGAAGACTCAGAATTTGAGTCGTTTGTTTTATTTCTTATTCATTTGTTTTTGGTTTTTGAGCCACACCCAGCACTGATTGGGGCTTCCTCCTGACTCTGCACTCAGGGTTCACTGTTTGTAGAACTCAATAAACCATACGGGCTGCTGGGATCAAGCCCAGGTTGTGTTAACGGCAAACACCCTGCCTGGTGTATTATCTCTCTGATATTCCTCAAGTCATTTTTAAAGGGGAAATCCCATAGCAAAAACACTTTAGAGGGGCTGGAGTGATAGCACAGCAGGTAGGGCGTTTGCCTTGCACCCGGCTGACCCGGGTTCAATTCCCAGCATCCCATATGGTCCCCCAAGCACCTCCAGCAGTAATTCCTGAGTGCATGAGCCAGGAGTAGCCCCTGTGTATCACCAAGTGTGACACAAAAAGAAAAATAAAACTTTAGATCAGGAAAGGGCTGGTTAAATCTTGTGATGCTATGGTACAGAAAGTGCTTAATAGGGGCTGAAGCGATAGCACAGCGGGTAGGGTGTTTGCCCTGCACGCAGCCAACATGGCCAACCCAGGTTCGATTCCCAGCATCCCATATGGTCCCCCGAGCACTGGCAGGAGTAATTCCTGAGTGCATGAGCCAGGAGTAACCCCTGAGCATCGCCGGGTGTGACCCAAAAAGAAAAAAAAAGTACTTAATAATTCTTCTCACATTTCAGAATCACACACATGGTTAAAGTTCTCTTTGCCATACTTTTCACTTATCACAGACAAAATGCCAACAGGATGTATTCTCCATTTCATTCACAGATGGAAATAACTTTGCTGCCTTCTACCCAAGTCTCCTAGTCTTGTGAAAAGGAAAGAAATTATACTGCCCCCTCCCCACAACCAAACACACACACACACACACACACACACACACACACTTCTGCTCAGCTCAGGAGTATGGGGGTGGGATGGGGGGTAGAGACAGAAGGAGGGACCAGATGAGATCACAGGGAAAAATGGTTTTGGACACTGAGACCATCCCCACAATAAGAGAGGCCATGCTCCTTTAATTTTTTTTAAACTTTATTTTTTTTACTTTTTATTTATTTTTTTTGCCTTTTGGGTCACACCCGGCGATGCTCAGGGGTTACTCCTGGCTCATGAACTCAGGAACTGCTCCTGGCGTTGCTCAGGGGACCATATGGGATGCTGGGAATCGAACCTGTGTCGGCCATGTTGGCTGCTTGCAAGGCAAACGCCCTACCCGCAGTGCTATCGCTCTAGCCCCCATGCTCCTTTTAAAGTTCTCTATGGGCAGGTGCTACACCCAGTGATGCTACTCCTGGTTTTGTGCTCAGGCGGTGCCAGGGATTGAACCCAGGTCGACCCCACACAATGCAAGCACCCTATTGGTTGTACATGGCTCCAGTTCCCAAGGCCATGTTCCTTTATCAGGTGCCTTCTCTGTCTTCGGATGGGAGAGTTTCCTGGTGGGTTCCTCCAGCTTCTCTTCTAGAATCCCATGAGTGGTGTAAAGGGAGAGGCACCCACCATGTGCCCTTTCACAAGAACCCCACAAATGTCTTCTGCAAACTTGCTCATTCAAAGGCATCGTCAGCCTCCTGAGACTGGGGGTTTGGAAACTTCAGTTGTCTACTTCATGCTGTGGCCAGGTCGGCAGGTCAGAGCTGAGTTGCAGGCGTCACCATCCAGGTCCTTCACCCGGAGATATCCTCCTCCTCCTCCTTCTCCTCCTCCTCCTGGACGTCCTTCGAGTCTACCAGGCAGTGACCGGGGCCTCTTTCTCAGGGAAAACGTCTGTGGGCCCCAGCTGAGCACACACCCACAGCTGCAGCTTCCCAGCCTGGGGAGCCCTGGACCGCCGAAACTCCTCCCTCTCGGTGCAGCTCAACAAGCCAACAAACGCTCACATGCGTGGCCTTGTCTGGGGGGAGCATTGCAGAAGCTTTAAGGGGGGGCGTGTCTTCTGTGCTGGTATCCAGAGAGGTAGGAGGGAAATAGAACCACTGAGAACTACCTCCTAAGGGTTCCAGTTGAGGGCAGGATAGGGGACACTCAGAGCAAGCTCCCTGACCCATAGCCACAGTACCCAGCAGGTCCTAACATCCCCAAGGGGACTGGAAGAGTTGGGGATGCAAGAGGCAGGGCCTCTTCTTCCCTGAGTCTGACCATCAGGACCAGCTTGAGCAGACCAAGAGCAGGGTCCAGGCTGGGGTTAGGAAAGAGAGGTGCCCAGGCAAGCAAAATGTAAAGAAGTGTCCAGCTGGAGTGCCTCTGGCCTCACCTGTGCCCACATTGAGGAGCTCAGGGCACAAGAGAGGGTTATATGACCACATTCGAGCAACGCCCACCACCTCTTCCCTGCCTGTTCTGTGTGGCTGCCTTATACATAGATGACCTAAATACAAATAAACAATTTTTACTCTCTTGACCTTCATGGTTCTTGAAATTGTGTTCAGTTGGCATAGAAGGAGTCTCAGAATAAATCCTCCAGAAAGAACCTGGACAGCTAATGCTGTTTCAGAGCCCACAGGGTGGCCCATGTTGTAATATTCCATGCCTCCCCTCAGCCTCCAACACACACACACACACACACACACACACACACACACACACACACAGGCACAAGTGCAGAAGGAGCAGGTGCCCAGGTGCTGCCCCAGCGGCCTTATCAGGAACCCCCCAACCCCCACCGCCAGCAGCTGGGTCACAGCTGGGCCAGTGCTCACGGCAGACCCTGAAGCAGAGAGGGTGGGTCACATGTGGACATCCACCCCTTTTAAAGTCGCAGAGCCCCAACGAGCCCTGCTTTCTGCCACCTGCCCGCCTGGTTGCTCCTTGCACTAGCTGCGCTCCTCATCATGAAGGTCCTGGCCCTCTTGCTTGTCGCCGTCATCGCGGTGGCCTATGCAGTCCCTGACCCCCGGGGCATCATCATCAACCTGGTAAGGATTTCCTCAGGGGCCCCTGGGAGAGAGTCCATGGGCACTACCTGCCCCTTCCCACCCCCCAACCCCCATCTAGCACTAAGCCAGATTGAAAACACGCCCAGGTGGGGGGTGTTATAGCCTAGACCCCAGGGAGGTGTGGTCTCAGGACCCCAGAGAAGGCTGATCCCAGAGAGTCACCCAGAGGCTGAGGAGTTTTGTGCAAATCCAGGGCACAGTAATCCTAATCCCAATCTGGTTCAGAAAACTCCCTGTGGTTCTGTGCGCAGACATTGCTCTGGGCATTGCAGATGTCATGGGTCCAGAACAGCCGTGTAGATGCAAAATTCCCAGCAGGGGATGGGGCTGGAGTGATAGTACAGTGGGTAGGGCGTTTGCCTTGGACGCGGCCGACCCGGGTTCAATTCCCAGCACCCCATATGGTCCCCTGAGCACCACCAGGAGCAATTCCTGAGTGCAGAGCCAGGAGTAACCCCTATGCATCGCCAGGTGTGAAGGGAAAGGGTGGAGGGTGAAGAGAGATGTTCTCCAGAGAGATATCCCAACACTTTCATGGACTCCTTTCACGCAATCCCATAAGGCGCAGTGGGGTTTGCAGAGCCTGTCTGGGGTCACCCGTTCCAGATGGGGATACTGAGGCAGGGGAGGAAGGAAATCACAGGGAGTTGGTGGCGAAGCCAGAACTGAACCCCCAGAGTCGTGCCCTTCCCAAGCTTCTCACACTCTTTGTCGGAGGTCACCCACCCTCACCTCCCTTTTATCCCTTCATTCGGCTCCGCCCACCCGGGGAGGCATTGTCAGCGGTCGCAGATGGGAGAAGGGGCGACGATCGGGGTGGAGGGGGCACGGGGGTCCCCGCTGACCGTCTCTGCCCGCAGGACGAGGGCGAACTCTGCATGAACAGCGCCCAGTGCAAGAGCAAGTGCTGCCACCGCACCAGCGGAATGAGCCTGGCCCGCTGCGCCCCCAAGGCCAGTGAGAACAGCGAGTGCTCTGCCAAGGTGGGTGCCCTGGCGAGGGACGCGGGGAAGGATGGGGTGTGGGAGTGGGGGGGGGGGCGCAGAGCTGAGCAAACATCAGAGCACTGAGATGGGTGGGGATTTCTTATCTTTAAATCGTGACTGGTTGGGGCTGGAGCAATAGCACAGCGGGTAGGGCGTTTACCTTGCACGCAGCCGACCTGGGTTCGATTCCCAGCATCCCAGATGGTCCCCTGAGCACCGCCAGGAGTGATTCCGGAGTGCAGAGCCAGGAGTAACCCCTGAGCATCGCCGGGTGTGACCCAAAAAGAAAATAAATAAATGAATAAATTGTGACTGGGTACATCGGGGCACACCCACCCCACCCCGAGATCTCTTATTACTAAGAGCTCCGACTGCACAGCACCCCCTGCTGCAGCAGCCCGGAGACGCGTCACTCAAGGGACCCGCCCCGTGTCTCTGCAGACCCTCTATGGGGTTTACTACAAGTGTCCCTGTGAGCGCGGCCTGTCCTGCGAGGTGGACAAGACCATCGTGGGTTCCATCACCAACACCAACTTCGGCGTCTGTCACGATATTGGCCGACGATCCCAGGAGTGAAGTCAGCGTGTGGCGGGCGCCAAGCCCTGAACGCCCAAGCATGGTCCTCCTCCACCCTGGACCAGCGTCTCCATCTTCTAATTGGTTTTTTGGCCATTAAAGCCTCTCCTGCAAACCTTCCCAGGCTCCGGGATGTTCTTGCCGAGTCAGCGTCTGGCTCTGCGGGATGAGGCGGACCGTCTTGGAGGCCCCCTTCCATTTCTGGGGGGCAGGAACCCCTCCTGAGGAGGTGCTCTTCTGAGTTGCCCCATATCCGTTGTCCTGCATCAAAACATCCCAGTTCCCTGTCCTGGGCTCTCAGTGCTTCTCCGGTCCCAGCTTGCAGGCACAACCCACGCGGCCGGCAGTGGTGGTCCCGAGCACAGGCGCTTCCCTTGCACGCTGCCAAGCCAGGTTCAACCCGTGGTCCTCCATATGGTCGCCCAGGCTCCTGAGCACAGAACCAGGAGGAAGCCCTGAGCACTGCTGACGGTGGCTCAAAAAATAACAAACAAAAGTAAGACCGCTAATGATCTCTGGCTCCTAGAAAGTATTTGTCTCCATTTTTTTTTCCTTCTTTTGTAGGAGTACTGCTATTTATTCAGCCACTGATTAGCTGATTGAATTGTGCATGAACTCCACCTTACTTTTTTTTTCTTTTTCCATTTTTTTATAATTTTATTTATTGAATCACCGTGAGAGCAGTTACAAAGCTTTTGGGTCTAAGTCTCAGTCATACAATGAAACACCCGTACCTTCACCAGTGCCCATTCTCCACCACCAAAAATCCCAGTATACCCCCATCCCACACCCTCCCCCTGCCTGTGGGGCAGATGATTTCTACATTACTCTCTCTCTACTTTGATCACATTCACTATTTCGACACCAGACCCACCATTATTTAAGATTTTACCCCAACACTCAGATCTGCTGAAAAGGCAACAATAGACAATTTGTGTTCTATTGCTGGTTATGAATAACATATGATGTCGTGTGGCTGCAGTAGGGCCATGTGGTTTTGAAATTCTGAAATTTTAACACTTAAATCTGGAGGGATTTCTGCCAAAAGCCACTGGGTGTAGAGATCTGCTCCTGAGTCTCTGGGATCATGGCCATTGAGCAGCTTGATGAGGAGCCAAAGAGGCCATTCGTGGGCGATGACTTGGGGTCTCATTGGGGTGGGGAAGACAGGCCCGGCTCCACCTCCCTCCCCCATCCCGTGAGACCCAACAAGTTTCGTCACTGGGGGCCCAAGCCTGACTGTCCTATGGCCTCTGGAGGATGACAGCCACCAAGTCGCCAAGAGGGAGCAGGCGGAGGGACAGCACCCATTCCCCCCTGGGATGGCCCGGTGACAGTAACCTACTGTGGGGTCCGGACACATTTCTGACAAAAGCCGCTGGGTTTCGAGATTTGTTTCTGAGTCTCTGGGATCAAGGCCGTTGAGCAGCTTGATGAGGAGCCAGAGAGGCCGTTTGTGGGCGATGACTTGGGGTCTCGTTAGGGTGGGGAGGACAGTTTGTCTCCATTTTATAGATAAAAGAAATAAGGTTCAAAGAGGTTAAGTAATTTGCTCAGTGTCACGCAACTAGAAAAAGTTGGAGCTAAACCCACATACTTCCACCACCACCTCCAGCACACACCCTTTTGCCATACCCTATTTTTCTCAATTGTCCATGTGAAACAAACAGTGGCGTTGTAAGGAATTTAGTGTGGACTTAAGTATTTTAGGGCCAGAGAGATAGTGCAGCAGGTAGGATGTTTGCCTTGCACGCAGCTGACCCAGCTTTGATCCTTGGCATCCCATATGTTCCCCCTGAGCCTTCCAGGAGTCATTCCTGAGTGCAGAGCCAGGAGAAACCCCTGACCACCACCGGGTGTGGCCCAGGGAAAAAAATAGGAAAGATAAATATTTTAAGGCTGGAAATGTAGGACAGCAGGTGAGCACTTGCCTTGTGTTAGGCTCTGAGTTTGGGGCTGGAGCGATAGCACAGCGGGTAGGGCATTTGCCTTGCACACGGCTGACCCAGGTTCGATTCCCAGCATCCCATATGGTCCCCCAAGCACCGCCAGGAGTAATTCCTAAATGCATGAGCCAGGAGTAACCCCTGTGTATTGCTGAGTGTGACCCCCCCAAAAAAAAGGCTCTGAGTTTGAACCCTGACATCAATCTTCCCCCCCCACAGAGAGAGAGAGAGAGAGAGAGAGAGAGAGAGAGAGAGAGAGAGAGAGATTGTAACTTCGGGAGTCCCTGGGTTCCCAGATGATGCTGAGGTCTTCATCCCTGGGGAGGATCACAGAGCCTCAGCGAGGATGCTGAGGAGGAGGAGGGGGATGCACACACAGACCTGGAAGCTGTGAACAGAACGAAACTGGGGTGCTCCAGACTTCACCATTCCCAGATTCTGAAATCAATGACTTCTCGGGGAAAGCGTTAGGTTTAGGAGTTAGATCCGGATTCGGCTAAGTCACCAACAAAACCCCAAGTAAAGATGATTGGAACAAATAGGGGCGTGGACGTCTCCAGAATCAGAGATGCTGAGATCGGATGTGCTGGCATGTGTGTGGCAGCTGCAGGGTGGGCTGCTCTGCCCGCTGGGCACAGGCTGGTGGCTCCTGGCTTCCTGTCCTCTTCCCCTGGTCCAGGCTAGGAAGCAGCGGGAAGGAGTGGGTGCAGGGGTGAGGGGAAGTGTTTCTCTGAGTATCCTCTGAACCTTGCCACAAAGCCTCCAGTTCGACTTCCCAAAGGCATCGTGGCCACAGCTAGCTCTGCTGTCTGTAGCTGCAAGGGAGGCTGGGAAAGCAAGCCTTGAGCATCAGAAATGCAACTGCTGTGACTGGGAATGACAATCGTCTCCCTGGGCCCTCTCTACCCACACAATCGTGATGTCAGGGAGCTGGGAAGGGGTGAATGGCTCTTAGGGGAGCTGAGTGATGGTGTCACAGCTGCCTTACATTCAAGGAGAAGCTTTCCCATACCTTACCTCAACAGAGGTCTCTGGCCCAGAGGCAGAGCTGGGCTCCTTCTTGCTGGTCCCAAAATTGGCAGTGAGGGAGGAACATCCATTCACTTCTTCATACGTCCGCTGAATAGCCACAGGGCCCACCGCTGCGTTATAGACATGCTGTGTCACTGAGTTACAGTGTTAGGGACACAGAGTCCTGAGTTTCCAGAAGCAAGTGGAGAACTGGGTCCTATGCAAGCAGTTCTTCCCTATGGCCCCCACCCCTTGCTCCCCTATGTTAAATCCTCTCCACCTGAAATACTCAGTTGGGCTGGAGAGAGAAAGGGGCTGAGCTTGTGCTGTGCATCCATGAGGCCGAGGTTTGATCTTGGCACCACATGGTCCCCTAAGCACTGCCAGGAGTCAGCCCTGAAGACTGAACAATGCCCAACTCCCACTACCACCCCCAAATTGAAAAAGTAAATACCCAGGGTGGTTCTGGTTTTTCTAGACTGATTCTGGCTAACACAGCCTGCTGGAAGAAGGGGCGCATTCGGTAAGATGGTGGTGAAAGTGTTTTGACTTCTTGTGGAGTGCCACACCTGACAGTGTCCTGGAAATATGTAGGGGTCAGTTCTGGCAGTGTTTGGGGCACCATGTAGTGTTGGGCATCAAACCCAGGCTTCCGAGGTGCGAAGCATGTACATCACAACCCCTTGGGGGGTGGTTTTGTTTTGTTTTTTTATTTTGTTTTGTTTCTGAGTCACACCCAGCAGTGCTGAGAGCTTACTCCTGGCGCTGTGCTCAGGGCTCACTCTTGACTCAGGGGAGTGCCCGTCAGCTGTGTGCGAGGCAAGTGCCTTACCCGCTGTGATATTTTTCTGGCCTGTGTAGCAGGTGGTGATTAAAAAGCGTCTTTTTCTCACCAAGCCCAGATCTACAGGAATCACCACTCTCAAAAGCACATAAAAATGTCCTCGGGATTGGGACCCTGACATAGGCACTCTCTCCCCCCCTTCCTGTCCCCATTCTGGGAGCTCCTCTCCTTGCAATAACTTTTTTCCCCTATATTTTCAGCTATAGAAGCAGGGTGCTTATAGCCTCAAGCCCATAACAATTCCCAATGCTAAACCCTTAGACTCTTGCTGTCTGATACGGTGGAAAGGAGCGTGTTAAGCAGCGTGTTAAGCGCTCAATATGTGGCTTATCCGAATTGGGATAAGTAGAATGTACGAATTAGGTTGTTTTGTTAAGAACCACACCCAGCAGTGTTTAGAGGCTATTCCTAGCTCAGGGGCCACATGCAAACAGACTCAGAGAACTGTGCGGTGCTGAGTGTCAAAGCCTGGGCCTCACACATGCAAAGCGAGTGGCCAGTCACTGAGTTACACCTCTATAAGCCAATTTGCATTGGATTTTGAACACCAAAAAGAATGGAAAGAATATGGACCACTTTAAAGGATGATCATTTGGAATTGGGTTACATATGATCAGAACTGGTTCCACCTGTTTTTTGTTTGTTTGTTTATTTGTTTGTTTGGACATGCTTTGCCCCTGAGAGATATTGTTTTTAATCTCTTAAGGTAAAGGTAAAGGCCCTCCCGTTGATCGTCGATTTGCTTGAGCGGGCTCAGTAACATCTCCATTGGAGACTTTGTTGTTACTGTGTCTGGCATATCGAATACTCTCGGTAGCTTGCCGGGCTCTCCGAGAGGGGCGGAGGAATCGAACTCGGGTCGGCCATGTTGGCCGCGTGTAAGGCGAACGCCCTACCCTCTGTGCTATCGCTCCGGCCCTAAAGTAAGTAAAGGCCCTCCCGTTGATCGTCGATTTGCTCGAGCGGGCCCAGTAACGTCTCCATTGGAGACTTTGTTGTTACTGTGTCTGGCTGGGCTGGAGCGATAGCACAGTGGGTAGGGCGTTTGTCTTGCACACAGACAACATGGCCGACCCCAGTTCGATTCCTCCGCCCCTCTCAGAGAGCCCAGCAAGCTACTGAGAGTATGTCCCCCACACGGCAAAGCCTGGCAAGTTACCTGTGACATATTTGATATGCCAAACGCAGTTAACAAGTGTCACACTGGAGACGTTACAGGGCCTGCTCGAGCAAATCGATGAACAACGGAGGACAGAGACAGTAAGTTACCTTTAATCTCTTAATTAGTAATTATCTCATTCTTACTTTGG